GAAGACTCGTACACGTGCACATTTTGTCCATGCCCATTCAAGCAAAGTCACAATCCTCCCTGGAGCAAATACGCTCAAGACTCGGCCCGAGCCAGCCATTAATGTAAGAGCTGGGAGCTGAGAGGGGTTGCATCAAGCACGCATCCGACCGCTTTGAAGAGCCAAAACAGGCTTGTAAAGATCAAGCTCGTAAAAAGCAGTCCCTGTTTTGCTAGCTCATGAATGGGAAGAAATGCCAACTGGATAATTTTTTACACATTTTTTTTTCGTCTTTGTCAACATTCCCCCATTTGGCTGAAACTTCAAATGCCATATTTGGAGAGTGGCTGTCTTAGAAGTCCCAGTATTTGTATAAATAGCTGATAGTGAAAAAATTACCCGCCCTGGAGCCTGCCCAGGGGCCTTCAGGAGGAGCAGGGCTGGGGACAGCGATGGGGCCACAGCTGCTTGGGCTCTGGAGCAGGGACGTGGGCAGCCCGGTGCCTTCCAGCCCGACGTGTCCCGGGGGAGGAAGCATTTGGGGGCCTCCAAACACCGGCACCCACCCAAGGGCAGGAGGGGAGCAGCGGGGGTCTCCGTCCTCAGCCGGGGAGGGGGTCGTGCGACAGACGAGCGGGGTGAAAAAACCGCCCCGGGTGTCCCCCTTTGGAGGGGGGCCGTCTCTCTGTCACCCCTCTGCAGTCGTTTTGCCACCTCCCTGCGCCGGGGGCCGGTGCCGCACCGGGGCCAGCCCGCCCTGCCCGGGGGGCGCACGGCGAGGGGCGCACGGCGAGGTTGCCGGGGGCGCGGTGCGGAGCCGGGGGCCGGCGGGGAGGCGGTGCCGGCTCCCGTTCCCCGTCCATTGATCCCGGGAGCGTTGCGGGAGCCCGGGGCCGCCCCGAGCCTTTAAAGGCTCCTCCCCGAGCGGCGGCCCCGGGAGCGCCGCCGAGGGGAGCCCGGCGCCGGTGCAGCCCCGACGGCCGGTCCGGTGCGCTCCGGGCGGCGGCGGCGGCGGCGGCGGGGAGCCCCCAGCCCCTCGCCGGCCCCGAGCCCAGCCCCGACCCCGACCCCCCGACCCCCCGACGGGGCGCGCCCGGCTCGGGAGCGCGGAGCGGCGGCAGCGGGAGCGGGGCGCGCCCTGCCCGGCCCTGCCCGGCGCGTCCCGGCGGCGATGAGCCCGCTCCCCGTCGGCAACGGCAGCGCCTGGGGGGCGGCAGCCCCGGGCCCCGGCCCCAATTGCAGCGGGGCCGCCAGCCTGAGCCGGCAGTGGGCGGTGGGGGCCGCCCTGAGCCTCACCGTGCTGGTGATCGTGGCCGGGAACCTGCTGGTGATCGTGGCCATCGCCAAGACGCCGCGGCTGCAGACCATGACCAACGTCTTCGTCACCTCGCTGGCCTGCGCCGACCTCATCATGGGCTTGCTGGTGGTGCCCCCGGGGGCCACCATCCTGCTGAGCGGCCACTGGCCCTACGGCACGGTGGTGTGCGAGCTCTGGACCTCGCTGGACGTGCTGTGCGTGACGGCCAGCATCGAGACGCTGTGCGCCATCGCCGTGGATCGCTACCTCGCCATCACGTCGCCGCTGCAGTACGAGGCGCTGGTGACCAAGGGCAGGGCGCGGGCCGTGGTGTGCCTGGTGTGGGCCATCTCGGCCTTCATCTCCTTCCTGCCCATCATGAACCACTGGTGGCGGGACGGCGCCGACGAGCAGGCGCTGCGCTGCTACGACGACCCGCGCTGCTGCGACTTTGTCACCAACATGACCTACGCCATCGTCTCCTCCACCATCTCCTTCTACGTGCCCCTGCTCGTCATGATCTTCGTCTACGTCCGCGTCTTCGCCGTGGCCACGCGGCACGTGCAGCTGATCGGCAAGGACAGGGTGAGGTTCCTGCAGGAGCCCCCCAGCCCCGGCTCCAGGGGCGGCCGGCGGAGGCGCCCCTCCCGCCTGCTGGCCATCAAGGAGCACAAGGCGCTCAAGACCCTGGGCATCATCATGGGCACCTTCACGCTCTGCTGGCTGCCCTTCTTCGTGGCCAACATCATCAAGGTCTTCTGCCGGCCGCTGGTGCCGGATCAGCTCTTCCTCTTCCTCAACTGGCTGGGCTACGTCAACTCGGCCTTCAACCCCATCATCTACTGCCGCAGCCCCGACTTCAGGAGCGCCTTCCGCAAGCTGCTGTGCTGCCCTCGCCGTGCCGACCGCCGGCTCCACGCCGTCTCCCAGGACCCGCAGCACTGCCCCTGCGCCTTCAGCCCCCGGGGGGGTCCCTCGGGGCACGGCAAGGCGGCGGCCCCCCTGCGGCACGGGGAGGATGGCGAGGCTCGGGGTGCCGGCAGGACGGAGGAGCCGGCCCCGGCCCACGGCAGCGCCCACCAGCAGCGGCCCCTGGGCGAGTGCTGGCTGCAGGGCACCCAGACCACGCTGTGTGAGGACGAGTGAGTACCTGCGTGGGCTGGGGGGGCCGCTGGGGGGGCACGGGAGTGCGGTCTGGTGAGCACGGAGCTGGGGAGCAGGAGGTTCTGGGGGGGCTGGGGGTGCGGGCTGAGAACCGCTGCGCTCTGCCTTTAGGGTTCCCTAAGCCCCAGCCCCTCTGCTGGGCTGCAAAACTGGGGTCCTCGGTGCCCCCCCCGCCCTGTCCCTTCCTGGGGAGTGTCCCCACCACCAGAATAATTCATTCTCTCGGAGACAACGCTGAAAGGAAGAAAATCAGCCAGGCAGGAGTGTCCCAAACCCTGGGATTTTGTCCCATTTCCCCCCACTCCCGATTTCTTTCAGGGAGCCCCTTGCGGTAGGGCGGGCCGGGGGGGGGTCTCTGGCTGCCGGTCCGGGCTCCGTGTGTCCCTTTGTCCCCTGGTGGCTGCGGTTTGGGGGGGGAATTTCTCCGGTCAGCCCCGTCCCTGCAGCCCGGGGCTGTGCCCTGCCCGCGGTGTCACACTGCTGAGAGGTATGGGGTGTACGGGGTGTTTTTTTTTCCCCCGATCTTTTTATTCTCACAAAATGTGAATGTTTTTCAGCACGGGGGATTCCAGCTGCCTTCCTTTGGCCAGAAACCGCTCACCTGAGGGCAGGGAGGCTGCTGGCAGAGCCGCTGCTGGGGGGGGGGGGGGTGGAAGGAGCTGCGGGGAGGATTTCGGGGGGTGGGTTTCGGGAAAGGATCGGACCCCGCGGACTCGGGGCAGCGGCTGTTCATGCCCTGTGCTCTCCCGTTGAAGGTTCACCGGCAGCGAGACGCCAGCAGGTCCCTCGGTGTGACCGGGAGCAGCGCAGAGGAGGGAGCACAGTAAGTGCGCTTTGCCTTCCCTGGGGAGGGGGGGTTGCAGCCGAGCCGTGGGGGCCCCCCCAGGCGTGGAGGCGGCCGCCCCTCGTCCCTGCAGCAGTCTCCTCTGACCAGCTTGGCCGTCCCCTTCCCTGGGGGAGCGCAGCCCTTGGCTGGCCCGCAGGCATGTGCCACTCGGGGCGCGTGAGCCTGACGCAGGCATCTGCTGACCGTCGGGGGTGCTGCAACCCCCCCGGAGCAGCGGAATCGGCGGTGCTGGCTCTATGGGGACCGGCACTTTGGGGCTGGCTTCAGGGCAGGACCCCCTCTTTGCACGCTCCCCTTTTGGGGGGGGTTGGTTGTGAGCTCCAGGGGCTGCGGGTGGTGCGATGGATGCGCCCCACACTCTGCCAGCTCCCCTTTTTGGGGGTTGGTTGTGATCCCCAGGGGATGGGGGTGCCGCGAGGGGTGCGCCCCGAGCCCCCCCCCCACCTCCTCTCGCCTCCTTGCAGGGCCGGGCGCTGCGACGGGGACGCTGCGTGGGGACAGAGGAGCAGCACAGGGGGTGGCAGCGCTGGAAAGACCCCCGGAGAGGAAGGGGGGCACCCGCTCGGGGAGCACACCGCGCTCCTCCGCTGCCGGAGAGATGAAGCCAGCAGGGAAAAAGCTCCCGAGCCGCCTGTCCTGAGGCTCCCCACGGCAGCACGGCCGCCAGGGACGGGGGGGAAGCCGCCCCCGTGCCCCCCGACGTGGCCGGTGCTGGGACGTGGCGGCCAGCGGCTCTGCTCCCCCGCAGGACCCTGCCCTCCCGGCCGTGTGGGGAGAAGGGTGCCCTAAAAATGAGACCTCGCCGGGTCCTGCCCCCGCCGCGGCTGCGAAATTCCCGGGGCCGCCGCGATGCCGGGAGCTGCAGCGACACCGCCCGCTGGGGAAACGTGCGGGGAGCGAGGGGATCCCCGGGTTTGGGGCAAAAGATGCGAACCGAGCTCTTGTGCGATGGACACGGGGCCGTGCCACGCGCCCCGAAACCCCGGGGGTGCCCGGAGCACGGCCGAGAGCAGCCGGGGCTGGGCAGGGATGGGGAGCCCTGCAGGAGGGGGGGGCACACTGGGGGTGCTGCGGGTGCAGGGGGTGAGGGCAGCGGTGCTGTGCTCTTTTTAAAGCCTCCGTGCGTGGTCAGGGGTGGCAGCACCCACGCAGGGTGTGCGCAGAGGTGCCTGTGGGTGTCCGTGCCGGTGCCACCCCGCCTGTAAACGTGTCGTGGTGACCGCGAGGTTTTTCTGCCTTGTTTTCCCCCCACCCGCTGTGTGAAATAAATCTTGGAAACCCCTCCGTGATGCCTCCAGGTCTGTGACAAGCAGAGGGATGGGGCCGGGCACAGCCTCTGCGGTGGTTGTGCTCCCACCGGGGGGCTTTGTGCCCCCTCCCGGGGGGCTGTCAGCCTGGAAAAGCACCCAGAAAGCAGCCACCCCCACCCCACCACCATTTGGGAACTCGTACAGACAATTTGGGAGCAGCCGGGGTGGGGAGAGGCTGAGCACGGGGGCAGTGCTGGGAGGGATGGGGCAGCACCGGGGGCATCGCCCCCGCTCCAGCAACCCCCGGAGCTCTGGGGGCGCATTGATGGCACCTGGGGAGAGCTGCCGAGCACCTGGGCTGCATTCCCAAATTGCCGGGTCCCCTTCCCTTTATTTGCGGCCAGCGGGGGCTGCTTGGGGTGTCCTGCTGTACCCTGGGTGTGCGGGGCAGGGTCAGCTCCCTCCGAGACCTCTGGGTTGTGCTGCTGCTTCAGGAAGCTGCTGCTCCTCGGAGCTGGTTGTGTCTGTGCGGGCACTTTGCCAGCTCCTCCTTTCCCCAGGGGATGCCCAAGGGGTTGGGGGGTTTATTTCTCACTTAGCCCTCCTCTCCTAGCCAAGGGGGTGCTGCTCCAGCTGCCTTCACCCCTTGCAGAAGGCAACTGTGCTGCTGTGAGCTGCTGGTGGTCTGGGGGTGTGGGAGTTTGCTCTGAGCGCTCCCAAGTCCCTTTTCTTCCAGGTGTTGCTGTTGCAGCCCAGTTCCCCTGTTTCACTCTTTCCTCCCCTCCTTATTTCACAGGAGCCAGCTCCCGGGGCTGGACCAGATGCAGAGGATGAGCTCTTCTTTTGTCTCCAGTTCGCTGTCGGAGGAGAGGCCGGTCACTGCCCTGTGGGGTGAGCAGCAGCAGCACCCACCCCGGGTTCCCCCCCAGCTCTCCATCCCAGCTGCTCTGCTCCCTTTGAGGCCAATTTCCCCCTGCACCGCAGCAACCTGCACTCCCCTTGCTGTGCAACCCCTGGGTGGCTGAGGGTTCCCCATGGCACAGGGGCACCCCATGGCCCCAGGAGGTGCCAGCCCTATGGGACCACCCCGGGGACACCCCCTCTGCCTTCCCCACACCTGGGGCTCATGGGGGGAGCAGCTCCTGCGTGCAGGGACGAGGCTGTGTGTCCGCAGGCTGCGAGCTGGGCACGGGCACACGGCGCTGCGTGCTGCAGGAGGACGACAACTGCCTGGAGCACCTGGTCCTGCTGAGGACGGTAAGGCGCAGAGCTTGGAGCCCCCCCCGGCTGTGCTGGCCCAGGACTGGGCTCTGTGTGCCACGGGGCTCTGCTGGGCTCCGCAGGTCTCCCTGGGGGCTGGCGCCAGGGACGAGCTGCACGTGGTGGCTGTGGAGTCGAAGAACACGTACGGAGGCTGCAAGCCGGTGCCCATCGCCTCGCTGCGAGGCTCCGTGCTCCCCATGGTAAGGGCAGGGAGGGGGGGCAGCACCCTGAGAGCCACCCAGCCTCGGTGGGGGGGCTGCACGGGGGTCTCCAGGCAGTGCTGGGGGCTTTTTGGTTGTGCCTGCAAACCTCTCTGCTCTGCCCAAATGAGCTGGGGCAGAGGAGCCCCCATCCTGTGGCTGTTGCAGGGTTTGCCCTGTGCTGGGGATGGGCTGGGGGTGCTCCAAGCTCTTTATTTATTTATTTATTTATTTATTTATTTGCAGATCAACCTCAAAGGCCTGGAGTTTGTCCCTCCGGTCACCTTCGTGCTGGAGTGTGGAGCTGGGCCGGTCTATCTCAGTGGGCAGCACGTCACCCGTGAGTCCTGCATGGGAGCGGGGCTGGGGTGGCACCGGGGGTGCTCGCCTGGCCCCAGGGGGCTTTAGTGGTAGCGGTGTGTCTCCTTGTCCCAGTGGAAGATGACCACAGGTACGAAGCCCACGAGGAAGAGCTGTTGGAGGAAGATGCAGATGATGAGGACGATGCCAGAGCAGCGCAGGATGGGGACTAACCGCAGCTCGGGGAGGATTTCTGCATCCTGGGAATGCCTCTGGTGGATGGCAGGGCTGTGGTGGAGGCTGTTCTGTGCCAGGAGCTGCAGGTGCCTGGCACCAACCAGGCTGGGTCCTTGCCCAGGGGTACAAACTGCCTCTGCTTTGCATACTGCCCTTGCCTCCTCTCCCTGCCCGCTCTGTTCATAACATGCTCTGAGAAATGCTCCCCCCTTCCTACCACTCCTCCCACCAGGCTGGGGTCACCCCCAGCTCCCTGCGCTGCCCTGGGGGCTGCTCTCACCCCCTCCTCCCTCCCAGGGGCATCGCTCTGATGGTGCCTGCTCAGCTGAACCGAGCAGCAGCACGTTGCTGTCTGCACAGCAGCCCAGGGGAACGCAGCCAAAGGCTGCTCAGAACCAGCAGCTGCCGAAATAATTCAATTAAAGCCCCTCATGGAGGAAAATTGCCCCAATCCATCACGTGTGTGACGTTAGCTGGCAGGGGATGTGTCTGGAAAGGGGAGCAGGGGTGCGGTGTGGGTGCCCCCCTGGGTTCCCCAGGAGTGGGGTGGATGTGACCCTATCCTGCTGGGCGCAGCAGTGTGTGGCTGTGTCTGGCACAGCGCTGTGGTGTGTGGCTGTGGCAGGGCAGCATCGCCAGCAGGTGGCTGTGGCTGAGCTCTGCCGTCCTTTGTGAGCAGCACTGGGGGGGTTTAGTGCGAATTGAAGGCAAAGTGGCACCAGGCAGCACAGCCTCTGCTCTCCTCCAGCCACCTTCTCCCTCCTCCGAGTGCCTGGGTGTGCGCTCTGCTGGGCTGGGTGCCTGCTGAGGCAGCAGCAAGTGCAAGCTTTGCACACCCACTCTCATCTCCCCCTGTAACAGTGCCACTTTTGTGTCCCCATGCTTGCATTTACCAACTTGGTTGGGGCTCTGGGATCATGGCAGTGAGTGGGGGCCAAGGGGGGCTGTGGTGGGACTGATCCTGCCCAGCTGGCAGCCCCTTGCTGTCCTAACGAGGCCCTGGTGAATTCGTGGCTCCTGATTCCTCAGGCAGGAATTAAATGCACCGTTAATTGGAAGTCTTGCAGCTGCATTAAGACATCTCGCTGGGTGCAGATTAAGCCTTATAAAGAAATCCAGGAAGGAAAGAAACACAAAGCGGATTGAGGTCGGTGCCACTGAACTTGCACAGTGGCCTCTCCAAAGCCCCGTGTGTGTCAGGGAGGTGCCTGACGGTGAAGTACACAAGCAGCTGGTGTGGTGCTGGCTGAGCTGCCCACACTCGAGCCAGAAATCTCCCAAAAGAGCCGCAGGAATCCTGGGGACAGCAGCACCTGGCTGCTCCTCTCCTGGTGTCCTGCACCCAGTGGTGATGCTGCCCCGTGCGCCCTCCCTGCCCTGGGTTTATTTCCCCGGGCTCTGCCTTCACCCCCTCCTCGTGGCTGCGGAGCACTCACCATGTCCTGCACGCCAGCATCGCGTGGAGGGCTTTGGCATAACCATGGCAACTGCCAGGTAATTAACAGACAGCTCTCAATGTCATGGGAACAAACCAGGAGCAAACAGCGGGCGCTGGGCCGCACGCCTCCCTGCCCCCCGGTGCAGGATGTGGCCCGCAGGGCTCCATCTGGCCTGCCCCAAAACCAGCTCCGTGTGCGCTGCCCCCGGGGTGGCACCAGGCAGCCCACATCCCCTAGGCACCCTTGGCGGGTCTGGCACAAAGAGGCAGCCCCCAGCTCTCTGTGCCATTAATGCCCAGAGCACGGATATTTAATTTTTATTAAATTAACGCCAGCCTGGGACACAAAACCAGGATCTCATGTTCTGAGTGCTGGGGGATTAAAGACTTTCTGTGGAGAATGGTGGAGAGTACTTCTAGCAGGGAACGGGACAGTAAGAGTGAAATTTTAATACAGAAGCTGCTCCATTTGAGGTAAAAGCTCCTCTAAAACTGATGAAAACAACAGATTGTGACCCAAAACCTTGGAGGAGCCTGCAGTGTGAGATATTGCCATCGGTGCAGGGATCAGGGCTGCCTTTTGTTCTGTCTCCAGATGCTCCCTTCGTGGTGGGGTGCCCTACCAAGGTGTGGGGCGAAGCAGGCAGGGCGCATGGGAGCTGACCCAAACCCAGAATTAATGCAAATTCGGGCTGCCGAGCTTGCGAGGAGCTTCTGGGCAGCCCTGCAAAGCTCCGAGGCTGGCTGCAATTCTCTGCTCGTTTCCACTGGAGACTCAAAACCTGCGGCGGGGTTTGTGCTGGGGAAGTTGGGCACGTAAAACAACGGCTGGCACAGAGAGAAAGGAACGCGGCTACGAGTCCTGCGCTGCCAGAGTGGGAGATAATGCATGGAAATAGCTCGGGAAATTAAAGTTTGCCTGCAGCGCGTTCGGGGATGATTCAGTGGGCAGCAGGGGAGGGAGGGGACGCGTGCGGGAGGCAGGGCTGCGCCTGGGGCGCACCGGGACCCGCTCGTCCCGGGCTCTGCCCGCCGCCGCTCTGCTTTTTTTGCCCTGGATTTTGCCTCGGATTCCCTCCTCGCCCCCTGCCCCTTCTTCAGAGCGGATGAAATGAGAGCGGGGTGCTGTGGGAACACCTCGGTGGAGCCGCTGGAATCGCAGCAGAAAGGCGAGTCCAGCCGGGCTGCTGCCGGCGCCGACCTCGTAGGAGAGCGCGGCTGAGCTCGTTAGGGGCGCACGAGGCTTCATTGAGCGCAGAAGTGGCAGCGCATCCGTATCCATTTCCCCATTAACGTCCCCTGCGATTTCCAGAGGCATCAGGAGCGACTTTCGGGCTCGGCTGCTGCTGCCAGGAGCTGCCCGTGCGCAGCGGCTGGGCGCAGGAGGGGCTCGCCGCGACGCTCGGGCTGCAGGTGAGTGCCTCCTCCTCGGGGCTGACCTGCCGCTTTTCCCCCTTTTTCCTTCTCCCCACAGAGCCGTGGGCGCTGCTCAACCCCGTGCTGCCTCTCCTAGGGGGCCGTTTGCCAGCGTCGCCTCCTTTCTGACCCTCGTTTCCCATCTCCCAGGGAGCCGCAGCGAGGAGCCACCACCCCGGGGAGCCCCCCCTGGTCCCCAGCCTGGTGTGGGGCAGGACCCCTCGGGGTGGCACAGCCGTGAGGAGGAGCAGGATGCGCCCCACGGCCACCTGAACCCTGCGACTGACAGGTTTTGGGGGGCCAGGACGTCCCAGGGAGCTGGTTAGGGTCGAAGGGGCCATGGAGCCCAGCAGGGACGGGGCCAACGCCACCGCCTCCGAGCTCGCCCTGCAGAACCGCCCCAACGCCAGCGCGCAGTTCACCGGGGTGCAGCTCATCCAGTCCTTCAAGCCCCTCATCATCCCCTGCTACGCCCTCGTCGTCCTCGTCGGCATCTTCGGCAACTACCTGCTCCTCTACATCATCTGCAAGTCCAAGAAGATGCACAATGTCACCAACTTCTTCATCGGGAACCTGGCCTTCTCGGACATGCTGATGTGCGCCACCTGCGTGCCCTTCACCCTAGCCTACGCCTTCAACCCTCAGGGTTGGGTTTTCGGGAGGTTTTTGTGCTACTTCGTCTTCCTGATGCAGCCCATGACCGTCTACGTCTCCGTCTTCACGCTCACGGCCATCGCGGTGGACAGGTGAGGTGGGCGCAGGGGGTGGCAGAGGGGGGCAGGCACTCTTCTGGTGTTAACTCTGCTGGGGGCTGGCATCCAGGGGGCTCTGTCTGGACCAAGCCCTCCCTGCTTCAGGGGATGCTGCTCTCCCCGGTGGTGCTGGGTTTGGGAACGCGAGCCTCCTGCCTCCCCCCGCCGTGGTTTTTTCTCCCAGGTTTTCATCCTGTGCTGTGTAAATTTGCATCAAAATTACCTCGTGGCCTGGCACCGGGATGGAAAGTGCTTGCGCCTGCTGAAATGGACAGGGGCAGGACGTGGCAGGGGGCTTGTTTTAGAAAAAATGAGTTTCCATAGATACGTCGTGCCGTAAAAGCAGCCTCGGGCCCTGTGGGGATGGAGCAGGGCCCAGAGCAGTAGCCCCAGGAGGGGCTCGGAGCCTTCGGGGTGGGTTCCCCTGGCTCTGGCTGGAGGGCGAGAAGGGACTGAAGTGGGGAAGGTGAAAACAGGGCAGATTTAGCCAGAAAGCTGAGAAAACTTTGAGTGTTTGTGAGCCAAGCTTCCCTGCTGGTGGTGGTTAGGCATCCGGGAGTTTTTGCGCTCCAACAAAGCAGCTTTTTTGGGGTGAGAAGACCAATTCTGTGTTTTCCCCACCAAACAGGCACCCACAAATCACAGCGCCCTCACCCCGTTCATGCAGCAGCCTCGGGATTTGCACCCAGTGGTGGCTTTGGCACGAGCCCTCCGGCTGGGGCTCAGCTTTGCTGCAGCTCTGCCATCTATTAACGGGATATTAACCATAACGGGATGTTAATAACGGGATGTGAACAATATCCCATTATTGCTGCTGAGCAGGGAGCTCCCCGGACACAGCCACTTGGTCACGGCCGCAGGGAGAGGAGTGGGGGGCGCACAGGGGAGGGGAAATTGGGGGCTGACCGGGGGGGTTGCTCACTCGGTGCTGCCTCCAGCCAGAACGGTGTTACAGGAGGGGCGCCCTGCTCCCCAAAACCACACAGTGGGGCACCCCCGACCCCATGCCACGGGGGTCTCCCCCCCCCCCATGTCCCCGCAGGTACTACGCCACCGTGCACCCCCTGAAGAGGCGCCTGTCGGTCGCCGGCTGCGCCTACGTGGTGGGGGGCATCTGGCTGCTGTCGGGGGCGCTGGTGGCGCCGGCGGTGGCGCACACCTACCACGTGGAGTTCCAGCAGCAGGGCTTCGCCATCTGCGAGGAATTTTGGGTGGAGGAGGAGGCGCAGCGCCTGGCCTACGCCTACAGCACCCTGATCCTCACCTACATCCTGCCCCTCTCCGCCCTCTCCCTCTCCTACCTCTGCATCTCGGTGAGGCTGCGCAACCGCGTGGTGCCCGGGCACCCCACGCAGAGCCAGGCCGAGTGCGAGCGCCTGAGGAAGAGGAAGATTTTCCGCCTGGTGGCCCTGGTGGTGGCGGCTTTCGGGGTGTGCTGGCTGCCCATCCACGTCTTCAACGTCATCCGGGACATCGACATCGGCCTGATCCACAAGCGCTACTTCCTGCTGATCCAGCTGCTGTGCCACTGGTTCGCCATGAGCTCCTCCTGCTGCAACCCCTTCCTCTACGCCTGGCTGCACGACCGCTTCCGCGGCGAGCTCAGGAGGATTTTCTCCTGCCAGCGCCGCGTCCTCCCCGCCGCCACCTGCGCCGTGCTCTGAGGGTCCCCCACGCTCCCACCCCCGGGGGTCCCCCACACTCACCCTCGTGGAGCCCGATCCTTCCCCGTGGTGGAGGCGAGGTGTCACCCCCCGGCACGGCTCCCCCCCCTCTCCCCGGTGCCCCCAGGGGGGCTGAGACCCCTGGGCTCTCTGCCGGTGCCGCCCCGAGGTCCGTGCGCCCAGCCCCGGTGGCCAGGGGGTACCCGGGGAAAAGGGGGGGACGGGGCTGGGGTGGGCAATGGGACTCCAGAGAGTGCCCGGGGAGCCTTGTGCTCGGTTTTGGGGCTGCACGGGTGTCATTATTGCAAATTAATCAAGGAAATGGGGCTGTGTTTGGCTGGAACAAGCTTTAGGGTGGTGGTTTGGTGCCCCTCGTTAAGCGTGGCCTGTAATTAAAATCATTCCTGGTGTTGGAAATGGGGATTCTCCCACGACATTGTTTTCAGAGGGATGGCTGCTTTGGGGTGACCTCAAAACGGGCGAGGGGACGGCACTGGGGACAGCAACCCTGTGGTGGCAGCCCCCAGTACCCCCCAGTAACCCCCAGTAACCCCCAGTAGCCCCCTTCCACACCGAATGCCCCCCCCCAGTAGTGGGGGCGGTGCGGGGGGGTCCCCAGCACCCACCCCCTGGGTTTGGGCAGGGGGCGGTGGGTGCAGCCGGGGGGACACAGGGGAATGGGGGGGGGCTGCACCCATGGGTGGGGGGATAGGAGGGGGAGGGGGCTCCATGCACACCCCTGCACACCCACACCCATGCACACCCCTGTATGTGTGCACGCCTGTGCACACCCCCACCTGTACAGGCACAGCCCTGTGCACACACTTACACACCCCTACATGGCACACACTTGTGCACACTTGCACACGTGTGTTCACACCCCCCTGTACTCACACTTACCCATACACACCCACACCCCCCCCTGCACACCCCCTTGTGCACCCCCCGTGCATTCACCCCCCCCATTCACACTCACCCGCTCACACTCACGCTCCCCCAGGCCCCGCCCACTCCCCAAGGCCACGCCCACTTTCCCTAAACCACGCCCACCACCATTCACCCACCTTCCCCAAGCCCCGCCCACCGCCCCTTAAACCCCGCCCCCTCCCAAACCCCGCCCACTCCAGACCACGCCCCCCCTCCTCCCCCGCCCCTCCCATCCCTCTCGCGAGAGGGGCGGGGCGGCTCCGCTGGGTCCCAGTGCCCGCCGCTCCCGGTGCCCGCCGGGTCCCCGCCGCTTCCCTCCCGGTTCCCGTCTCCCCTCGCCATGGCGGCCCCGGGCTGGGCCCCCACGCACGTGCAGGTGACGGTGCTGAGGGCGCGGGGGCTGCGGGCCAAGGGGGCGTCGGGCGGCAGCGACGCCTACGCGGTGATGGCGCTGGGCCGGGAGAAGTTCTCCACGTCGGTGGCCGAGCGCTGCCAGGGCCGGCCCGAGTGGCGGCAGGAGGCCACCTTCGAGCTGCCGCCCGCCGCCGCCAGCCTGCGCCTCACCGTGCTGCACCGCGCCCTCGTCGGCCTCGACAAGTTCCTGGGCCGGGCCGAGGTTGACCTGGCGGCCCTGCGGGGGGACGGAGGTCGCCGGCATACCAGGTGGGGGCCGGGGGGGGTCCTGAGGGGAGATGGGGGGGCTGAGGGGTGTTGGGAGGGGTCCTGAGGGGAGATCGGGGGGTCCTGAGGGGCTGGGGGGGGTTTTGAGGGGAGGTCGGGGGGTCCTGAGGGGAGATAAGGGGGTCCCGAGGGGCTGGGGGGGGTCTTGGGGACAGCTGGAGGGGTCCTGAGGGGAGGTGGGGGGGTTCTGAGGGGCTGGGAAGGGATTTTGGGGGGCCTCAGTGGAGCTGAGGAGCTCCTGAGGGGTTGAGCGGGGGTCCTGAGGGGAGCTGGAGAGGTCTTGGGGGCAGCTGGGGGGTCCTGAGGGGAGATAGGGGCACCCTGAAGGGTGTGGGAGGGTCTTGGGTGGGCTCTGGGAGCTTGAGGGAGAGCTTTGGAGGGCCCTGAGGGGATCTGGGGGGGTCCTGAGGGGTTGGGGGAAACTTCAGGGAGCTCTGGGGGCTTGAGGGAGAACTTTAGGGAGCCCTGAGCAGAGATAGAGGGACCCTGAGGGGGACTTTGAGGGGTCCTGAGTAGAGCTGAGGAGCCCTAGAGGGGTTTGGGGGGGGGGCTTTAGGGGGCCCTGAGGGGTTGGGGGGGTCCTGGAGGGGAGCTGGGGACTCCCAGAGGTTGAGGGGGACCCTTAATGGGCCCTGAGGGTTTGGGGGCAGGGGGCTCGGAGAGGTGGGGAGCCCTGGGGGGGAGCAGCGGGGGCTCTGGGGGGAGCCCCTCATACCCTGCTCAGGGTGACCCCAGGGGAAGGTGCCCAGTGCCTTTTCGGGCTCTCCTTCCCCACGCTCAGGTTTCCTTTTTAAATATTTACCTGCCGGCGTGAGCGATTTACGCTGGGAACAATGAGGTTGTCTGAGGAAGCCTGGTGTGTTTGAAATGCCCTCTCGTTGGGACAGAAAGCGAGCCCTGCCCTGCCAACTGTTTATATATTTTTCTTAATAACTGCTTAGCAGAGCCTGGTGGTGTAGGAGCAGGTAACTCAGCGCTGTTCAGGTTCGTTTCCCTGCTGGCTGCGAGGCGCCGAGCTGCGAGACTTCTCCTTGAACACCGAGTGCCAGACCCGGGTCACGCTTGCACCTTGGAACGTAAACACTGGTGCAGAGCCCTGAAATCCCAGGGTGGTTACTGGGAGCGCTGTGCTGGGAGCCAGCAGCGCTGGGAGAGCCGCGAGGCAGCCCGTGAGTCAGCTCCTCTCACCCACCCCAGGAGCCGGTGTTTATTCACACCGAAGCCAGGATCTGCTTCTCAACAAAGCCCTGGCTGCCTGTGAAGTCCTAATTACAGCGTGGCTGTCATTAAGGGCTGCGAGGCTGCTGTCAGGCCCTAATGTGTTTACTCTTGGAGGCCAAGTGCCTGCAGTCAGCAGAGGTCAGCGAGTCAGCCCTGTAGGGCCAGTGAGGGGCTTCTCCCAGGTTTCTTCACGTCTGGGGCCAGGGAAAATTGTGGAAAGATGTAAATTTGATGCTTCTTGGGGAAACTTATGGTATTTCCAGTCGTTAGCCTCCCCCTCGCCCTCGATTTCCTGCCTGAAGCTCATTCCTTCCATCACCCTCCTGTGAATGCAGGGTTTACCCGCAGCACGTGGGCTGATCCCTCCTTGTGTGCCACGCCGAGGCTTGAAAATGTCGGCTGTCTGCAGCTAAAACCAGAAGTTAAAAGTTTGCCTCTAGTTTTGGGTGGTTCTGCCAGTAAATCATTTACTCTCCCCACTCGAACCACGGTGGATGTGGTGGCATGCTCCTCAGGAACAGCGGCGCGCTGCGCTGCCCTTTGCTGAGCACGGGGTTTTTGCTTTGTTTGCCTTTCAGACAGGGCCCTCATTGCCCCCGGGAGGCTGCGCAGGACAGCACTGACGCTGAACAAATGCAGGCGTGCGCCTGGAAAGACCTCGAGGCAGGACAAAAGAGCCCAGCCGTGGCTCGTGTGTGCCTGGATCAAGCGTGGCAGGTGCCTGGGTGCTCATAGGAAGGTTCCAGCCGTCACTGCGGGACTTTAGGGCAGGATGAACCTGACAAAACATCACATTTTCTGTAAACCCAACCCTTGTAGCACTGCTTGGTGCTGCTGTCCTGTACCCTCGAGTCAGAGCAGTGACTGAGCGTGCTGCTCGTGCCCAGATCCCTCTCGTGCCATCCTCCAGAGCAGGCTTCTGAGCCCCTCTTTGGTTAACCCCCTTCTGGTTTTGTCTTTTTGAAGAAAATGCCTTTTTCGTATTCTCTTTCATTGCTTGCAGTGCACGACCAGAGTTTTGAAGTGCAAATTTTCTGGAGAGGCGGGTTTGCACGGTCTGGTTCTGTTCCTTCATTTCCCTTCGCTAGCTGCGTGGAGCCAAAGCCAGCCTTGTCCACGCGTCCTTCTTTCCCTAGCAGGAGTCAGCAAGTCTGTGGCTCTTGGAACAGCCAAAAAAAAAAAACAACAAACCCCCTACATTGGTATGCAGCTGATAATTTTTCTTCCCTGGCACTAACATGCTGAGGAGGACGTAGGGGCGGTAATTGAGCAACTGGAGTGGTGGCAGGCAGCGTGGTTTCCCCGAGCACTCGCTGCTCACAGTGTTCCCTGCTCACTGCTCCTATTCCGGGCTGGGTTTCAGGAAAGGGGGATGAGGCTCTGTCCGTAGCAAACCTGGCTGGTTCGATCCAACCAGCACCGCGGAGTTGTGGAAATCCCCACGAGTTCTGTAATGCTTGTTTTGGTTCTCGTGGCGCTGATTAGGGGTTCCTTAGCTTAAGAAGCATTAAGATAGCAGCTGAGAGGAAGCTGGAATGAAAGGTATGAGGGTGTGGGCTGTGTGCGTAAGCTCTCTGGTACCGGTGTCACCTCTCCGAGGCTCCCTTAGCACCCACTTCAAAGCTTTAATCTCAGTGAATTTCAGGGAGGCAGAGAAAAGTACAAAAAAAAAAGAGTGGCTGAGCTGACCTACAGGAATTCCATGCTGTGTGGGTTTTTAACCCTTTCTGGTTTTAGTTTAATAAAACAAATTTCACGAATTTCACAGATTTCACTTTTTCTCTTTGCAGTGAGAAGTGTTTTCCTGTGGTATCTGGGGTCATAGGACTGTGATGTAGTTGTAAGACTGAAGGTTTTTCTTTTTTTCTATGCAGAGAGGTTTCAGATCCTTAAAACACAGAGATCCTCTGCTGTTTTAAACTATTTGTGAGTCTCAGGAGCTTGTTGCTGAAACGAATCTCCTTGTTTTGGCAGGTGGTACAAGCTTCGCTCCAAACCGGGGAAGAAGGAAAAGGAGAGAGGGGAGATTGAGGTGGACATCCAGTTCATGCGGAGCAACATGACAGCCAGCATGTTCGACTTGTCCATCAAAGACAAGTCTCGCTCTCCGTTTGGCAAGATCAAAGACAAGCTGAAGGGGAAGAGGAGCAGCGGGCTTTCTGACACGGCCTCCGAGATCGTTCCCAGCACCACTCACTCCCCAGCTGATAGCGAAGATGAGTCAGCCGAGAAGGAGAAGAAGAAATCAAAGTTCAAAACCCTGTTCTCCAAACCTGGCCTGCAGAAGACTTCCCTCTCCCAGTCCATGTCCGTCCTGCCTACGCCCCAGCCCGGGGCCGAGCGGGTCAGGCTGCGGCCCAGTGACTTCCAGTCGCAGTGGGATGACGACGAGTCGGAGACCTCTCCGACCTCAGAAAGTGAGTATGAAGCGTGAGGCCTTTCCCCAAAGGCTTGCTTGTACTTTTCCCACTCCTCAGAATATTATTAAGTTCTCCTTAATGAACAAACCCGTAGGAAGTCACTTCTGCCCATGGTGGTGTGTGAGGGTATGGGATACTGGACACGGACAGCTGAGCTTTCCTTGGGAGAGCTCAGAAGCCGTGAGCAAAGCGTGCACCCGGTGGTGGTGCAGTGAGGCACTGAGCATCTGCGGTGCTTTTAGGCCACTGGGAGGCTTGTGTGATCCTGCCTGCTGAGGGCAGACCCTGCCAAGGGACACAGGGGATGTGGGAACAGCGGTGCAGTCACACTTGTGTCTGTTGGTGTGCTCAGTTAGCGAGCTGTGAAGCATTCAGGCTGTTAGGAGGTGTTCTTAGATCTTGAATTTCTCCCCATTGTTTTTTTTCCAGGAGCCTTTGGAAATGCCCTGGAAGAGAAGTTTCCTTCTCCTGTATTTAAATCTCGTAAAACAGCGACTTTGGACAACAGGCAACTAAACCAAACAACCACTAGCAACACCAAGAAAGAAGGGCTCTCCTTATTCAGTGGCCTTAAATCCAAAAATGATCCGGTCTCCAAGTCCAGCCTGTGCATCAACGGCAGTCACGTTTATATGGAAGAGAGCGCGCTGAAGGACAACACTCCAGCTTCTTCCCCCTCTCCTCTCAACTTCAGGAGGAAGCAACTCTTTGCTTCGGAAGAGAACCTGTCTTCCAGATCTGCTAAAGGACATGAAGAGGTGGGCAGAACGTCTCCCAGCCATGCTTTGTCTGGGTCTGCATCCCTGGAGACCTTTAAATCAATGACTTTGCCATCGTACAAACTGCTTAGCGGTGAAGAGAACCCGGAAACCAGCACTCCCCTGACCATCGAGGTCATTAAAGAGACCAAAAAAACGGACCACAAAAAGTCTGCCTTGCTTTCCCTGGTGACAGGGAAGAAAGAAGCAGCGAAAACCAGTGACACGGAAAGAATTCCAGAGAGGAATTCTGAAAGAATTCCAAAGGAAGAGGAAACCAAGGCTGCAGAAGAGAAAAGTGAACAGGAGGCCAAACAGCTTGAGTCCTCAGCAGACGCGAGCAGAGGAAATCCTCCAGAAGACGGTCGCCTAGAAGAGGTCCCCACGAATAAACACCCACACAACCCTTTTGAGGAAGAGCAGAAACCTGAAAAGGCGGCTGCAGCAGCGAAGACCAAAGCTGTGAAACCCAGGTCAGTCGTGTTTGCTTCAGATGTTGCTGTGATAGCAGCACGCCGTGGTTGTAGGCTTGAACTAGACAGCTTCCTACCGCAGAGCAGCACCTGGGGACGTGGTGTGCTGCATGCAGCAGGACTGTGGTACTCTGGGGGTACCTGGTGGCTTTGAGCTAGGTTTTGGACCCAAATAATAATTTTGAGGTCCTTCTCAGTATGAAAACAGATGATACAGGGCTGTTCCCTTTAAGCAATGCCAAAAATACTGGTTTTCTGGGTGCAGGCATCTTTCAGATGCTGCAGGGGTAATTCTTCTTGCTGGATCTCTTGCACAAACTAACATTCCTTCAGAGCTGTGTGGCTTGAAACATACCCAGGGGCTGACATACCAGTTCTAACATCTCTACTTCTCCCTTCTCTGTTTTGCTATGACCTTCAGAGGAGTTAACCTTGGAGCCCTTCTGCTTGTGGCGTTGTTCACAGCAACACGAAGTACGTCTGTGGCAGTTACACACACGGCTTTTTCGGAAATTCTGCTCATGTGTAATTATGTATGTGATTTCATATATATATTTTGATATATATGTCTAAATACGTGTGTAAATACATTCGTCTTACTAATAAGGCTGTTCCGTGTCCTCCTCCCACCCTACTTTCAGTGCTTCTTCACGCTTAAGCACCTTGCCTGTGCAGTGCCCTACTAACCAAATCGCTTGGGGTGCATCAGGTGAGGTAATTCCTGCGATGCCTGCTGCTCAGCGCTGCTTGTGCAAACTACAGCCAGGGTGTTCTGACATAAGGAGTGTTTTGTGAAGGTGCATTCAGGTATATTAACTCGTCCATTAGGCAGGCTCAAGTCTCTTGCCGTATAATTTGTCTCCAGTGTTAGGCGTTGATGGAGGCTGGTGCTAAAGCTTGCCTGCTCCTGCCTCGTGTTGCATCCGCAGGTGACGTACATGCCAGTTTTTTGTCCCTTTTGCAGACTGGGCGTGCCTTCACAGGAGGAAACCAAAGCCACGCTTCCTACTCTTGCACCTGACTCCCTTCCCGCTTTTCTTTCCCTACCCCGCATCAGCAGTGGAAATAATCCCTTTATTTCTAAAGCGGGACAGAAAGTCCCGGTGGCAGGCTCTGACAGCACCCCTAGCTCTCCTGCATCTCTTCCTTCTCCTCTCACTGCAGAGCTTTTGAGTGGCAAGAACCCCTTTAGTCCCAGCTGGGAGAGGGCGTCCCCAGCCCTGGATCCCGAGCACGCTGCCCGTGTGCCCCATCACCTCGCAGCCCCTGCTCCCCGAGCTCCCCTTCCCAGGCAGGTGTCTGGCAGTGGCAATAATCCCTTCACTTCTGACTGGGGGCAGGGTCCCGAAAGCTCTGCTTCGCGTGCTTCCTGGGCTGCCTCTTGTCCTGCGCCTTCCTTCCCTTCTGCTCTCCCCCTCACTGGCAATAACCCCTTTGTGTCCCAGCTTGGAGGGGGACCAGGCGTGCCAGGCGTCCCAGCTGGGGCTGCTCCTTCCCCTCCCTGCCCTCCCTGCGATGCAGGCTGCTCCTCCTCAGCACGCCCCGCTGATCAGAAACGCTCTGTGCTTACTGCTTCGGGGGGCTCTGCGCACGTGGCTGTAGCTGGTAATGGAAGGGCTGCACCAAACCCTCCTGCCTCTCTCTCTGTCGGTCCTGCTCCGGCTCCAAAGCAGCAGTGTGACTCCACGCAGGTCCAGGCAGACCCTTCTTTAAAGGGAGGCAGGGTGGTGGCTAGGAAATGCGTGTCCTTTCTGCTCGGGGACTCACAGCCTGCTCCGTCAGGGGACGAGGCTTTGGGTGGGCAGCAGCACGAGGAGCAGCACTCTGATTTTTGGGGGGTGCTACCCGGAGATGCAGACACTGCAGGGAGCAGAGCAGGGCTTGAGGCAGAGAGCTGCCCATCATCAGAGCTCTCTGGTAGCAGTGTAAATCCCACCCAGAACAGCAGGACCAGTATGGAAGTGGGCAGTGAGAACACCGAGCCCTGCACGAGGGGTGGCAAACACCACGCACCGCTCTCAGAGTGCAGTAGGAGCCTCTTACCAGGGAACGGAGCTGAGCGGCCGCCGTCCTCCGAGAGAGAGCTAAATGAGAAGCAGGAGATCTTAAGTGAAAAGAGGAGGGAGGAATGCACACCCACGTTAGAGCCCCGGGCGTCTCCATTTGACGAAAATGACTCATTTTCCCGAGCAGAATGTACGAAAGCAGCCCTGGGAGCTTGCACGCAGTCGGGCACGCCGAAGCCAGCACCACGGCTGTCTTTAACGCTGAAGAAGTGCCCAGCAGCCCCTCAAAACGATGAGTTCAGGGACGTGCCTTCTTCGGCTGAGGCTGTGAAATCTGCGTGTGGGCTCTCACCGCATAACGAGGAGCCCTCGGATGCTGGTGGATGCCTCCCCCCGCGGGGCTCAGGGACAGCTCTCGCTCCAGCAATAAAGCTGCGAGCTGACAGCAGTAACAGGCGCTCAGAAACCGAAGGTGACGATGATTTATTGGGCTGCCTCACAAACCTGAGGCCTGCCCACGGGTTGAGGCTGTCTGGTCTTCCAGCTATTCCGGAGGGAGGCTCTGATGACGAGCTGCTGGGGGACTGTCAGGAGAGCGGCGGTGTTGCTGCAGACGATGGAAATGTTCTGCAGGCTGGGAAGCTGCCTGTGGACGCAGTGCCTCTGCGGGAGGAACTGGAGGAGAGCTCTGGTACTGCTCTGGCGGCTCAGGGAGGAGGAAATGCTCCTGGTGTTTGCACGCCACCCGTGAGGGTGCACGTTCACAGTGTCAATAGCCAGAGAGCTGACTCAGGCCTACGTCTGGCACCTCATTCCAGGGAGCGTAGTGGTTGTTTTGAGACACAGGGATTAAAAATAGGTGCTGATGCTGAGGAGCGTGCCGAGAGTGACTTCTCTGAGCCTTCTGTTTCCTCTTCCTCTCTCTCAAGTCCTTCACAGCCCTGCTCTGCCTTTCGCTCCTTCTCCTCTGACACCCCAAGTCATAGAGCAGAGTCTCCGAAAAAGCCAACAGCAGAGGGCTGCGCAGATAAAGCAGGAATTTCTGGCAAGAAGAAGCTTCTTCAGGCATGGGTTTCACCCTCTGAAACGTATCCTAACCAAACTCAGCAGGGTGGTGAAACCATGTCTCCTAAGCACAGGTGAGAGAATAATCGTGGCTGTAACTTAGCAGACGGCACTGGATAACTCGGAATGATCCTTCTCAGAAATGGGAGAGCAGTTGCAGGAAGCCTGATAAACTGGGATACTTTCTTGTCTACTGGAATCGGGCTGGGTTGGCACGTGCTGAGGTACAAGTACAAATTTCTTCCTTTGTTAAAGCTGGCAAAATGAATCCTGCCTGAGCAATTGAAGATGACACATTTTGGCAGCTTATGGCGCACACTAAGATGGGATAAGATGTGACGCGCTCGTCACAGGGTAGTAGAAGTATTTGATATTTTGCAAGAACCATGACTGTGTGCTCATTAAGAATGCCAGGCTCAAATGCCAGTGCACAAGGGGTTAGAGTAGCTGCTGGTTATTCTTCTGTCGTGGTTTAACCATGCAGACTGACCTTGCTTTTCTTTTATGACACTGTTCAAGATATTTTTCCCTTGTTACTGTTTCTTTATCTCCAATGCCTTAAGTCAATAAAGGTAATAAAAAGAACTGGAGTGTACTTATAAAACACCTTCAGCTTAGACAGAAATGCCTTATCTTGGAGATAGAGAATGAGTAGGGTAGGAATTTTCCCTGATTTCTTGCTGTATTTGTTTTTTACTCTGCAGATCTGTGTAGTGCTAGTATAATATCTACTGCCTGACTAACGTGAGCCTTTTTAATGTTACAGACTCCATCCTGTGAAGCCAATGAATGCCACAGCAAATAAGTCTCAAAGTAAAAACCTGAACGTCATCAGCACTATGAACGAAAAGCTGATTGAGATGAACGTGAAGGTATGGAGGAACGTGGCACTTCAAAGCCACGTTTAAGCAGCAAACTGAACGGAGTTTCAGATTCCAGATAGTTTGTCTGGGCTCCTATCGTGTATCCCAAGCACAACAGTGATTGTGCTCAGCCCACGGGGAATGTGGAGTTTCCTTTTGGCAGTCCCCAGGGGTGGGGGCAGCCTTTGTTCCTGCAAACTCCTCAATGCTAGAATTAGCAGCTCCTGTTTGTGTGGGGGTTTCCCAGTGGGGAGGATGGAGGGGAGCTGTCTGACTCCCCAGAGCTGAGTGGGATGTGTCTGAGTGATGGAAGCTGCAGGAGGAGGGACGGGTGACTCACTGCCTGCGCTCCCTTGGCACACAGTCGTGCTCGTGACGTGTTGGAGCTGCGTAACTTGGATCAGCCAGAAAGATTGGACAAATTAGTCACTGTTTATACGCGAGCCTGATTAGTCCCCAAAGCTTCTTTTCACCCCGAAGTAAGTGTGCGGCTCTTAAAGCTGAGAAGGAGGGAAGAAGTACCCTCAGGGTGGCTGTTGCCTTGCGGTGCGTTGCGTTAATACCCTGTGCCCTCTGAGAGACCAGGTGCCTGCTGTCGAAGCAGGGCTGGTTCCTAAAAGCATAGCTGTGCAGCTTGCATAATCACTCGGATTTAAAGTGATTTTTTGCATAATCTTTGTCTCAGGAGACCTCTAAAGCGAATGCTGTAGTGCCTCCTCCTGGTGTAAGTGGAAAGAAGAAAATGTTTTATTTGTGCAATTTAAACTGCCTGTTTTCGTTGAATTGAGAACTTGTGGCTGGTGTTCTGGTCTGGTGCTCTGAGTCCACAAATGAAGTTAGGCTCGACGCTGCAGTCACTGGAGCCCGTTGAATGAGTTCTCCCTGCAACAGAAACGTCTGGGCTGGCAATCTGGTCTTGCGTCAGAGACTGTTTGGACTGAATTGGCAGAAGCTGCGGAGTATTTGTCTAGTTTGCTGAAGAGTTAGAAGCAGGCTTCTCAGAGAAGCTGTGTGGTGATGTGTGCACTACAGTAGGAGTGAAATGGCAAGTCCTCGTTGAGTGGTTTGTGCTCTTTAACCTGAATTTGACTGCCCAAGTCTTAGCTAGATTTTAAACTGTAGCTCTCCCCGTGCTTGTCACGATGCTTTTCCTTGTAGTTGGTGGTGCATGGCTCTAACTTCTGTGCACCTTCGCTAAGCTGGATGGGCTGTTGCCTGGAGTCAGCATGACATTCTTTCAGTGTAAATTGCAGCAGAGAGTTGAATTATAGAACTGACGTTATGCAAAGCCTTTATGCTCAAAGCAATTGCCTGGTTGCTTTCTGTAACGGCTGACACGCTCTGAGCCTGCCTGCTGTTCTGGAGGAGTCTTGGTAAGCTCTGTAAGCTGGATCTGTGCCATAAGTGAAGTACTACGCACCTACTCCAAAGCAGTTGCTCTCTTCCCCCCCCCAAAAAATTAAAAAGCTGTTCTGCGAGTGCATGAATGTACAGTGTTGTGTGTGAAGTTCTGTGGGCTGGGTTTGATAATGGCCCGACGGTGCTTTATTGCAGAGAGCTCGTCTGGCCTGGCCTGCCAGCCTCTCGTTTTTGCACAGCTTGGGTCTGGGCAGCCTGCTCTGCGCAGTCATAAAGCTTAATGAGCAATGTTCTGTAACGTCATTTGGATGGAGCTTACCTTTTAAGATAGCACAGTAATACTGCTGAGAAGCAGCTGTGTTTCTGCAAATGCTGTGTGTAACTGCTCGTTGGTGCCTCAGCTCCCTGAACCGGCTACCAGGTAGCATTCGGTTGCTAGTTTACGATGCCTGTATGTCTGTAATAACCCTGCCTTTCTTCTCTTGAAGAAATACGATCCTTCAGATCCTGCCTATGCTTATGCTCAGCTTACACACGATGAGCTAATCCAGCTGGTCCTGAAACAGAAGGATACGATTAGCAAGAAGGATCTCCAGGTGCGGGAGCTTGAAGACTACATCGATAACTTGCTTGTCAGAGTCATGGAAGAAACCCCAAACATTCTTCGTGTTCCAACTTCGGGAAACAGGAAAGCTGGAAAGATGTAAAAGCTCTCTGGACGTTGAACAAAGAACGGAATTCCCGCCAGCAGAGTTTGATTAATAAGGAGACAATGTGAAGTAGGTGGTACCGGTTGTGCTGCCCACACAAAATGACCTCTTTCCTGTTTCTGCCTTGAGCAACTATCACTTCGGTTAGTGGTTACATCAGGTCTTGTACAGCGAGTCCAAAAGTAGAATTAACTTACCATATTTATTTTTTGGTCTTTTTCCATTATTCGGGGAGATTTGTTCAGGCATCTAGTCCAAAGGATGCTTGCGATAGGAAGGATGAAGGTTTTCTTTGATATGTTTTCCTTGCCAGCACTGCTGATCTTTTATGAAGATTTTTTCATAGTTCAGTTTTGTAGCTGCTTTGCTAGATCAGTTCCTCCTCTGCCCACATCTGAAGTTGTAGTGCAATATACAATCTGGTACAGCAGAGCTTGAGGATTTGATTTTTTTTCTTTGTTTTGAATAACTACACTGGAGAAGTCCAAAGATGTAAGCTTCAGAACGGGGCTGCATGAGCTGTACTTTAAAAGCAATTAAGGCCCTAAAAGTGGAATGCAATTTAAACCATAGACTGGAAAGTAAGGAACAAAGCTAAATTAATGATGTCATGTAAATCTGGTTTCAAAGCAGTTCTCCTAGGGGAAGGTTTACAGGTGGTTTTTGGTCAAGGAAACACTGAGATGTCATGGTAGGTTTGTCTGCCATAGGAATAAGTAGTAGTAATGCATTTGGGCTGAAGGTACGTTAAATTGGAAGTTGTTCTCCTATAGGCTTCAAATGCCTGATTCAAAGCTTGTTCGGATGAGGAAGGCAAAGGTACATCTGGTTTCTGTTCTGTATTCTCAAATAGGGATGGATTTCACTGTACACGTGCATGGCCTGTGTCACTTGCTGTATGAAAGTCCGGTGATAATTTTGGTATTATACTGTTGCAGTTTAGTAAATCTCAGTGCCTTGGTTTTTGGAGCTAGTGCTTACCTTGGAACAACCTTCTGAGGTGATCAGTCTTAACACTTTCTTGTATTTGTTATACGGCTATGAAAAGAACCAAATTGCCCTTCCCTTGGGATGGGAACAGTTAAAATTCAGATCTGATTTGCTTTTCTTTGTGACTTGAAGCTCGCAACGGCATAAAAATTTATGTAGCTGAAAAAGCATTCTGGTTTTGCAAGACAATCAGATACCTCGGTCTGCTTCCTTAGCTTGTGGCCTCTTTGCAGCTCAATAGAGACAGGTACGTTCTCCCCATCTCATCAGGCAGAAAAGAACAGCTTAGCACTATCCAGCAGCCACAACAGGCTTCCTCTGCTGAAAGTTAAATGTGGCTTTTCTATGGCGAGCTCTTGCCAAAGATAACAAATCAGATGTGTCTTTGCAGCTCTTAGATTCATCAGGGTTGTGAGAGTCCAAGAGAAGTTCAGAAGAAAGCTGAAATATCAAAAGAGTGGGTAGCAGATCCAAAGTAAATGCTTCTGCTTTCTGGAATTGAGATAATTCATTCAGTCACTCCAGATATAGCTCGAAAGGGGTGAGTTTCTAACGCAGTTTTCCTACAGTAAAGCACTTTAATGAGGGACTAGCTGGATTAACTATTAACCTCTTAGTAGTCTTCTTACTGGTTTCATAAAACACTGAAAACTACTGGAGACTTCTCAAATACTGTGTTTTTGCAGTGAAGAGTAGTTTAATATATTTGCCTAGAGATGTACACATTTATTGGAAAATTCAAAAAATGCCGTTAATTACATTTTGGTACTGTAAACTGGCTAACTACCAAAGTCTGGCCTAGCAATCAAGTCTGTTCTGACAGAGCTCTCCTTCATGGGAAGCTCGATTTGAAACAAGCCTTTTAAGCGTTAGGAGTCTTGTAAGACTTCAGGTACTTCTTTACTGTACCCTCTTCTGTGAATGAAGGGTCTGAAATACAGAAATTCTTAGTGGCATCTTCAGCTTTTGGCTGATGGTTTTAATTTTGAGTGGTACTGGCTGACATTACTGGAAATTGATGCTGCTTCTTGTGCCTTGAAATAACGAGGAAGATGAATAAATAATTTCAGTTTCTTCCTTGTGCCTCAGTGGATCTCTGGAAAGAAGTGGTTGCCTATACCTCATGAATGAAATTGTCTTCTAGACTTTTTTCCACAACTTCCTGGTTTTCTACTTCAATCAGAAAAACCAGTAGTGCCTTTGAACAGTGGCTTAAAAGTTTGAAATAAAAAATGGTATTACTGGTGGTTGTAACTGGACACATGTTAAGGAAGACTTGGCTTGTTTTTTGCTGCCTTTGTTTTAAAAGAATAAGGGTACTACCCTGTGGCTGCTGAAGTCACGGTGATGCTGTGTGTAATGCTCTTGGAGTATGGATCTCATGAAGTTCTTACAGTGGATTGATTACGTGCATTCCTTTTGGCAAGAATATGTATCTCGAGGTTGTATAAACACAGACAAAATGGTAACGTGCTAATAATAGTCTCCTTAGAGACCAAGCCTTAAAATTTGTAATGTCCTCTCTCAGTAGCCTTCTGCCAGTTTCAGCTTTGTCCATTAAGGTGGGCTTCGTTGTCTGGCTTTTGCACCTTGGGTGGTTATCTCCTGTGGTCGCAGGCCTTGCTGCAGGGTGGCGGTCCTGTGCAAGCCACGCTTCTGCTTCCAGAGCTGTGAAAACACAGATCTTGTACCTCAGTCTTTTATCAGCAATATTGTTTAAAGCCTTCCTTGGGTGTAAGGGGACAGGCGTTTTATGTTCAGCAGGGTGCTTCACGCTGACTTCAAGGGGCCTAAGAATCAAGTGTATTGTTTTATTATTTTATTGTTGAAGGATTTGAATATATTTTTCCCTGTTTATCTGTCTGCTTTTAGCCTGGGTTGCTGTTTGTTTTTAAATGACCTTTGGTTTCATGGAACACTAAAATAAAAGATACCTTAAATCCAGTGTCCTGATCACTTATTTTTTGCCTGAAACTGTGGTTTCAGAGAGTGCTGAAATACGGAGAGCTGGGGGATGTCTGGGTGCTGCTCAGTAGGTGTCTTTGCCTCTTGCAGCCTTCCTGAGGGTTTTATTTGTGCCCCTCAGTTGTCTGATCTCTTTAACCTCTAACTGAAGTGTGAGCTGCTTGTGGTTTTGTGTGTGTGCCGTAGGCTGGTGCTTTGACCTCTGCAGTAACTCGCAGAGGTGTGGGGTGGGAGGATGCACTTTGGAGCACGTTGTGTGTATTAAAATGCTGAATTAAAGGCTGAAAATGCAATGGTTGTGCATCAGTGACCTGCAAAATGAAACCAGTCCTCGGTGCTGCAGCCCCAGGACCTCACCCTTTCCTCGTGACCAGCTCTGCTGGCCGAAACTCCTCACCCTGCAGGTATTTTGGGGCTAGCTCCATCCCTGAGCTATCTGTGCAGGAAGTTCACGGTAAACACCTCATGGGGCGGGGGAACCTGATCGGCCAGCTCATCACCATCACGAGAACCGAGACTTTCTGTGAAGCAAAAAATGTGCAAAAGCTCCTTGGCGGGCAGCCTGGCAAATTACCCCGGTGGCAGCAATGCGGCCCCTAATTGTAATGGCCCCGCAATTGTGGGCCTGATGGAGAGAGACCTGGTGGTAATCAGCCTCCCGCTGTCTCGAGGGCCATTTACCCCGAGACCTGAGCTCAGCAGCCCTGAGTGGCCTCAAACGGTGCTGGGGCCATGATGAAAGACGGGGAGGGGGGGGACGGGGAGGGCCTCAGCCATGGGGAGCCCCCGTCTGAGGGGCTGAGGGGGAGAAGGCAGCGCCTGGTGCCCCAGGACCCCACAAACGATGAGTTGTGGGTGACAAGGCCCTGGTGGGGAAGGTCTTGGTGGTTTCTGTGGTGTTTTTGTGTTTTTTAATTTATTTACTTTTATTTTTTGGTGATTTTTTTTTTTTTGGGGGGGGGGGGTGTTTTGTGTTTTCTTGGGGTGTTTTTTGTGTTCTTTTTTTTGAGGCTGTTTGGTGTTTTTTGGGGGCGTTGTTTTGGTGTTCTTTTTTTTTTGGGGGGGTGTTTGTGTTCTTTTTTTTGGGGGGGGTTGTGGCTTTTTTTGATTTTGTGTGTGTGTGTGTGGTGCTCTTGTGGCGTTTGTGTTCTTTTCTTGGGGTGTTTTCTGTTTTTTGGGGGGGGGGTTGGTGGTGTGTTTGGAAGCGTTTTATGTTTTTATTTTTTTTAATATTTATTTATTTATTTACTTTAAGCGTGTGCTTTTTGTGTTTATCATGCCCTTTTTTGCGTTTATTCCCGACTTTTACCCTCCCCCCCCCGTTACCACCCCCCTTCTTGAGGGCGGAACCCTCGAGGCCGGAACGTTGCGAGCGGGGCCGGGCGGGAAGGCCCCGGACGGACCGGGACGGACCGGGCCGGCCCCGGGCGGGCGGTGGCGGAGCGGGGCCATGGCGGAGCGGGGCGGGGACCGGGGCCGGGACCGGGGCCGCTGCCCCGAGTGCGGCTCGGCCGCGCTGGTGGAGGACTCGCACTACGCCCAGCAGCAGCTGGTGTGCGCCGCCTGCGGCTGTGTGCTGGCCGAGGGGCTGCTCACCACCACCTACACCGACGAGCAGCACCTGCGAGGTGCGGCCCGGCCCCGGGGGGGCCGCTGAGGGGGGCTCCGAACAGCCCCTGGCAGCGGCTGCGGTTTAATTGCGTGTGATTTAATTACTCTAGATGCAGTTTAATTGGCTCTCCCGGTGCCCTGCGTGGCAGGAGCCGCACTGGGTGCTGCCAGGCTGAAACCCAGCGTCCCCCTGCCCTCTCCAGGCCAGAGAGCAGCGCCCGGTTATCTCGTTATAAATTCAGGCTGAGGGCACCTCGCGGTCAGGCTTTATGCCCAGAACACACACACACACACACACAAGGTGTGGGGCTTTTTGGCATCTGAACCACCTGTAAGTGCACTGCAGGAGCCCTTTGCTGCTGCTGTTTGTAGAGGAGCGGTGGCCCAAAGGGGATCCTGCGGCTTAACGTCATCCAGCCTCTGCCACCAGGTCTTGCTTAGTGGCCTCAAAGGGCTGGCGGTTCTGAAAATTGGAATCTGGCACCGTGGCCGTCCAGTTGCCCAAAATCTAAATGATCCCCCTGTTGATCCAAAACGATCCAAATGATGCAAAATCTAAATAGCCCCCCTGCTGTGGCCGTGAGGTTACCAGCCCTAACGGTTACTCTTTTTTTCAGAGGTGGCCTATTCCCAGAGCACCGGCCAGAAAGAGCAGCTGAGCCGCTGCATGCAGCGAGGTAAGAGCGTGCCGGTCGGTTTCATTCATACACATCAATTCTCTTCTGCTGCTTTCTGCTTTGCTGCAATTTGTTCAATGCATTTCTGAAGCTCTCTGGAATGGGAAGAGCCTGTGGGGACTGGCACTAAACCAAGGCAGCAGTTAGTTCTGTGTCCAGTTTGCCTGAAGCAAACCGCCTTACCCACACACAGGGCTGGGGGAAAAGCCCTTGTGTCCTTGCCTGGGGCTGGGTGAATGCTGGTTGCACGGTGGTATTGAGGAGAGATGAACACACAGATAAGAAGCTGTGTGAGCTGATTGTAAAAGCAGTGTCTTCTCGCAGGGATCCGGCGGGTCCAGGATCTCTGTAAAGTCCTGCAGCTCCCATCGGTGTTTGAGGAAACGGCCGTGGGGTACTTCCAGCGAGCGCTGCAGCACCCCGCCTTCCACCTGGTCAGCCTGGAGAAGAAGGAGCTCCTGGGGGGCTGCTGCGTCTTCGTGACGTGCCGGCAGCACAACTGGCCGCTGACCATGGGCACGATCTGCTCCCTGCTTTATGCCAAGCAGGAGCTGTTCGCCGGCGTCTACCTGAGCGTGCAGAAGGAGCTCGGCATCTCTGTGCCCGCGCTGAGCCTGGCGGATCTGGTGAAGACACACCTCAGCAGGTAACGTGGGCCCTTCCATCTGCCACTTCAGCATCCTGCGTTGGGCACTGATGTGTGCAAAAGCCTCTAAAATGCAGCCGGGGGTGGAAGGCTGCAGTCAGACGCCGTTCTGCTATGAAAAAGCATTCCTGTGGGCAGCTCGCAGCCCCGGGAGGCACTCAGCACCTGAGCCTCGGTGCTGCGGCCAGGTCTGAGGCTTCCCCGTGCTGTTTCTAGCTCTGTGCTCTGTCCTCTTCCAGCTTCCACCTGTTCCGGCGTGCCGAGGACGTCCCTGCCCCGTTTGTGGAGGACGAGGAGCGGGTGGTGGCCCGCACGCTGCAGGTGGTGGAGCTGGCCAGCGAGACGTGGCTGGTCACGGGCCGCCACCCTGTCCCCATCGTCACGGCCGCGGCGTTCCTGTCCTGGCAGTCCCTGCAGCCCGCCGCCCGCCTCGCCTGCTCCTTGGCGCGGTTCTGCGAGGTGGCGGGCATCCCCCTGCCCCCGCCCGCCCACCTGAGGCTGCGGGAGCTGCACGAGATCCTCCTGAGGATGGCATCCCAGCTCGCCTGGCTGCGGGTGTTCCACTTGGACAAGAAGACGGTGGTGAAGCACCTCGGGGACCTGCTGCAGCACCGCCTGGTCCTGCTGAAAAACGCCTTCAGCCTGCAGGATGCGGAGGAGCAGCACGGGGAAGCCCAGGGTGAGGGATCTGCCGGCTCTCCTCCAGCAGCAGGGCCAGGACAGGAGGAGGGCTGCCCTTTGGAAGGGAAACGCCAGTGTGACAGCAGCCGGAGGCCCCTGCTGCCACCCTGCCTCATCCATCCGAGGAAGAGGCTGCGGACGGCAGCCCTGAGCGAGTCGGATGCTGCCCTCACCGGGGATGAGCCCATCTCGGACAGTGAGATAGAGCAGTACCTGCGGGGCCCCCAGGAGCTCCGCGCCTTCAGGAAGGCCAAGGCGTGGCAGTGAGGAGGGCTGGCAGCAGGATGGCCCGGAGGGCAGTGCCACCGGGGCACCAAACTGGGACCAAACCACAAAACCTGGTGGTAAACGAGCTGCTGGACGCTGCGGGGACAGTCGGTGGTGGAAATGGGCCTGGGGGGGAGTAGGGTGCGTCCTGACTCATGTTCTGGACCAAAACGGGTCTTTTAAGGAGCTCCTCCTGCTTTGGGGTTTGTTATATTTTGTTAAATACAGAAGTACAGGAATGGTTTCTCGACTCTCTCTTGTTGCAGCCTCTGGTAAAATGCCTTTTGGTTAATCCAGGAGCTGTGGGGCAGGTGCCACAGGTGGGTGTGCTAACACACAGGTGAGGGAGCGATGTCGGGATGCTGGGGAAAGCCAGCCCAGCCCAGCCCAGCCCTGCCCGCTCCTGAGTCGTGCTGCAGCTGGATTTGTCCTGAAGTTGGCCTGGTTTTTGTTTCCTCGCTGCTATGTGGCTGGAGTTAGCGGATGTGCTCGGAGCCGGTGGCTTTGGCTTGCACATCCCAGGCCCCGCGGTGTGGCAGCCGGTCCCTGCCTCAGTCGTGCCTGTCGGGGGCAGTGTGAAGCTGCTGCAGCGATTTTTTTGTGCTTTGGAGGGCAGAGAGGGAGCAGTGCTGCCTGTCCCTCGGTCACAGCAGGAGCAACTTGCAGGGTGAGGTGGAGGTTTCCAGCACCTCGCTCCGCACTGGGTTCCTGGAGCTTTTCCATGGGTTTCTGCAACTTTGTTCCAGCTTTTCCAGGGGTGTTCTGAGCTTCAGCAGGGTGGCTTTGGGAGCAGGCAGAGGGGTGATTTAATTTGCTGCCCCACGTTCCCAGGCGAAAGCAGCTCTGAGCAGCGTCCCTCTCACCAAACAGCGAGCGTCGCCTGCCCTGGGGCTGCGTGGAGCCGCCCGAGGATGGACTGCCAGGGTTAGGGATTGCAGCCATCCCCAGGGAAACTCAGCCTGGCTCACGTCACAGAAAAACTACCCAGTTTTTCAGCTAAATAAGCATGGGGAAGCTGCTGGAAATCTGTGGCAAAGGTAGAGCTGTGGCTCGTGTGAGCGGAACGGCGCTGGCTGCTCATTTCAAAGCATTGCACAACTTGGAGGAACACTGACCCCTGTGAGCCTCGCGGGCTGTTGTGTTTGAACGCAGAGGCTGCGAGAAATAACAGGAAATCTTGGCAGATTTGCAAATCTTTAATATATTAAACAAAACATATCTGCTAGAAACATTCTATTTATATAAAAATGCAAAAGACCCCTTTAAAGACATTTCTTTGGCATATTTTCCCCTCCCTCCCCCACGTATATTGCAAGAAGCTCTCTGTTGATATGTCATTTGCTTGTAATGTAAACAGACAAAAAAAAAAGTGTAATTAATAATACAAAGCTTTTTATATAATACTGTCACAGTGCAGCAAGCATATATAACAACTCAGCATCAGCAAGGCCACGTAGGCTGCGTATTGACATAAGGATTGAAGTTGTATTAAATACCAGGCACAATAAAACGTGTTTTTAAGCAGGCAGTTTGGTCAGAGAAGCGTGGCAGAACCGCAGCAAACCCAGCGGTAACCCAGCCCTGCGGGACGAGGGGCCCAAAGAGAGAGGAGCTAATTCTGGAGGGGAGAAAATTCTGGCAGTAAGTGCTGTGGGCTCCAACTTCTGGATCCCGTGGGCCCCTTGCCCGTGGTGTACACGGAGGACTGGCCTGGGAGCCTCCTAAGCGCTTCTCAGCCCCACTGAGCCCTGTGACCCTGCAGGAGGTAGGGAAGGGTCGTTAAACCCACCTGCACGCACAGAAACGGGCACAGGGAGGCTGAAGATGGCACAGGAGCAAGTGTGGCTCTTCTGTTTGCGTGTTGGAAAAGCGGGACTTGTTTTCAATGGGGAAAAGTAAGTGCTTAGCCAAGTCCCAGCCCTTTGGGCAGCCCACATCAGCGGCCCATGGGAAGCTCCCTGCCACCACCAAAACATCTCCCTGATGGACATCTCCCTGCCACCACCTCGGATCTGCTCGGGTCTGCGCCCAGGGCTGGGCTCTTTGGTTTGGGGAAGCGATGAATGATCCATGTTCATTTAGAAGCCAGGCTGTGGGGCTGCTCCACCAGCCCCCATACGCACAGGTCACACCTGGGAGGGGCTGGGGGCACCTCCTCGTGATGATTTTAATGTCTGGCATCCAAACGGTGCAGGCATTGCCTCGTCTGGCAACGGAGGCTTCTCTTACCTCGTGCTTGCTTCGAAATATGGCTTTCACTTTGGCAACTGAGTAACCCACAGGGCTAAATACTGTCTCTGAAGAACACACGGCTGAGAAGGATTGCAGGTGAAAACATTTCCAGCTGAGCTGCTTCTTTCTGACTCCTTCAGAAAAAAAGCTGGTCTAGGTTGGCAAGCGCCTGCAGGATGGCGTCCTAACATCAAGGGCACTTGGTGTGGTCCCCTCGGCCCCGGTGGGAATATTGCAGTCGTGGCACGAGCGGACTATTGCCAAAACCCCCAGGGCACGCTCGCCCCGTGGAGAACACTGGTCGGTAACACGGAGGCACTCGCGTCGGTTACGGCTCTGTCTATACATATATACATTCAATAATATAGAAATTCTGAAAAATAGACATTTCTTTCCTCTGTATATTATAAAATAGCATTTAGGATCAGTCCGAAGTGACTTGCAGGAGCGACGGAAGCGCGGCTGCCCTTCAGGCCGCTGAGGAGCAACGCTCGCCTTTCCCCTCGAGCCCGGTGCTGCGGGAGGCCGGGGCCTCCCTGGGACCACCGGGCCCGGCATCGCCCCCCACCCCGGCCCCCCGTAGTGCACGTAGCGACGCTCCCGGCCCCCCGAGGACACCCCCGGGCCCACCCGAGGAGGGCCGCGCTCCAGCGCCGCGGCCGTCGGGTCCTTCCCCTCCCTCACACCGTGGTTTCGCTCTTCCAGAGGCCGGTCCTCATCCCGGCCACGCCGTCGGCGCTGGCGAGGTTGACGTCGTACTTGCTGCCCTTGAGGCCGCCGTTGTGGCTGGCCACGTTGAGGGGGTAGGAGCGCCGCTTCGCCTCCTTCTCCACGGCGCCGGCCTGCCGCAGGTTGTCCCTGCTGGCGCTCCTCCGCCGCGCCTCGGCGAAATCGGGCGCCCGCCGCCCGCCGTCGCTGCCTTCCGACTGGCTCGGCGCCGTCTCCCCTTCCTGGGGGGCCGGGGGCCGCACGCGGCCGATATTCGGGGGGCTGTTCCTGCTGCTGTGGTAGCTCTCCGAGTGGCTGTTGTGCACGCTGCCGCTCTCGCTGGAGGGCTGCTCCGAGGACGGGCCCCGCAGCATTTTCAAGCGGTGGTGCTTCCCTTCCCGGTGCTGCTTAGTCCTGCCCTTGTGGTTCCTGCGCCCGTGGAGGTTGCTGGCGTGCCGGCCCGCCCCGCAGCTCTTGCCATCAGGCTCCGGCTCCTCGCAGGAGCCCGGCCGGGTCTCGGCCTGGCTCTGTGCCACGTGCAGGTTGGTGAGCTTGCAGCGCCCCGCGGCCGAGCCGGCGCTGCTGGGCGAGGAGGACGACTCGGCGGAGCGGGCAGCCTCCGGGGCGCAGCCGATGAAGACCTGCGAGCCGCCCAAGGTCGCCGCCGCGCCGGGGTGGACGTAAGCCTGCATGGGCAGCGCGTCCCGGTACGAGGGGCAGCAGGAGAACCAGGAGCTGAGCACGTCCCGGCGCCGCACGCAGTGGTGGATGAAGATGAAGAGCCCCAGCGCCACCGCCGTCACCCCGTAGAGGCAGCTGAAGATGATGTTGAGGTACCAGCGCTGGGACACGGCCACGGCCCCGAACGTCCAGAGGGCCACGTAGAGGGCGTGCGTGGTCACCAGCGCCCAGAGCTGCACCTTCAGGGAGTAGACGCCGTCCGCCTCGGGGCACGAGGGCCCCGAATTCAGCGTGACCGAGATGGACCCCGAGTCCGTCAGCAGGTCCCCACCGCCGCCACCACCACCCAGCCTCGGCGGCGTCTCCAGCGCCTCGGGGACTTCTTTCTGCGGGGAAGGCCGGCACTGGAGGTTGAGCCCGGCGCAGAGGAAATACATCCAGGTGACGAGCAGAATGAAGGCCACGGGGACGTAGAAAGCGCCCAGGCTGGGCCGCCACACCAGCCAGCAGCTGTGAGGGAGAGAAGGAGCCTCCGTCAGCAGAGCTGTGGCCGTGCACCGCGGCGCCTCGCCGCTCAGCACCCTCCTCGAGGTGGCTGGAGCCGGTCTCCGTGTCCCACATCATTTTCCCAATAAATGCAGAGCCCCCGGGGAAGGTCCCCCCCAACCCTTCCCAAACGTGCCCAGGTCCCCAGTGCGAGGGAGGAAGGCGGGGAGCAGCCGGCCACCTACTAGGGGTTGTTGTCGTGGTAGTTGTGGATGTTGACGGCGGCTGTGATGCCGCAGATGATGAGCGGGATGCCACCGGCGATCAGGTAGAACCTGCAAGGGGAGAAAGAGGTCGCTGCTCACCGAGACACGGGGACATGGGGACATGGGGACACGGGCTGGGCGACAGCTTCTGGACAGGCAGGAGCTGATCCTGCCCAGCTCGGGGGTCCCAGCATGCGGTCGGGGTTTGGGGTCAGGGCAAGGGGACGTCGGTACCGGAGCATGGGCCGAGGGGCCGGCTGCGCCGCGTCCCCGTCCGGCTGCCGGGGCGCCCTCCAGGTCACCTCCTTGTACAGGACCCGAGCCTTCACCGCCATCCACAGCAGCGTGGACAGGGAGGAGTAGTGCAAAATGATGCCGACCTGCGGGGCGAGGCGCTACGGTCAGCACGGGGACGCTGAGGACGTTGTGCCCGTGTCCCCCCCCCTGCGATGAGCCCGGCGCGGGGGCGCGTACCGCCTGGCAGACGAGCAGGTAGCCGGTGAGGGTGATGCCCCCTGCGAACACGGCGGACGTCATGGCGATGTGGAAGCAGAGGTTAAGCAGCATGTGCCAGCACTTGCGCGTGATGTGGATGGTGCTGGAAGAGAAGCAGAGGGGTGGCGCTGAGCTGCGGCCCCCGCTGGAGAGGGCTGTGTGCCCGTGCAGCCACAGCCCCGCCGGTCGGGGCCCCAAAACGCTCACCCGTGGTTGACGATGTAGGTGATGATGGTGGTGAAGAGGCAGAGCAGCAGCACGGCCGTGCAGGTGTACATGGCCGGGTGCAGCACCTCCACGGGGCCTCGTGCCTCGCTGGGGAAACCGCTCAGCTCCTGCAGGGCGCCCCGCAGCCCGTCAGACCCCGCTCCCTGCGCCCCTGACCCCAGCCCCCTTTTCTCCCCCACCTACCATGAGCACGGCCACGTTGCTGAGGTGCCGGCAGTGCAGGGAGGTGACGTTGGGCTCCCTGGCGGCCAGCTGGCAGCCCTCGGCGCTCCAGCCCCCCATGCCCCCCAGCACCTCGAAGTTCCAGTAGGCGGCCACGGGGTCCGCGCCCTCCCCGGGGTGCCGCAGCGACACGGCCACCGGCTCCGTCAGGTTCCCGACGCCGCAGCCGTCTGCCAGGGAACGGAGTGAGCAGGACAAGAAGCACCGCACACCCCTCTGCCTGCACCCCAGGGCACGGACACCACATGGGCACGTTGCCACCCCTCTGCTGTCACCACCTCCCCGGGAGGACCCCTCCAGGAGCACAGCCACCCCCCCGAGATGGCTCTGCTCTGGAGCAACAGGGAAAGCACCCCAGGAGCCCCCATCCCCAGCCACCAGCAGCCCCCCAACATGCAGCCCTTACACGTCCCGGCGTAGATGACCGGCGTGGCCACGCTGCGGCGCTTGCCATCATCCGCCAGGCGCGAGGAGTTGCCGGTGCTGCAGAAGAGCTTCCCGTTGCGGAAGACCAGCAACTGCAGCTTGCAGTCAGCCGGCGGGGCTGGAGGGACGGGGCTGGCGAAGAGGCTGGGAGGCAGCTGGATGGAGGCCAGGGCGATGCTGTTCTGCGGGGCGCACGGGCACCGGTGAGCACAGGATGGCCCCTCCTGAGTCTCCCACCTCGCCCCGGCCCCCAGGGGACCTGTACCTTGATGTGGAAGCTGGTCAGGGAGACGTTGGGGCGCCCCGTGGTGCAGCGCAGCCGCAGCTGCTGGTCGGGCTGGGGCTCGGCCGCCCGCTCGGCCGGGGGGCTGCGCCCAGCGGGACCCCCGTCCTGCCGCTGGAAAGCCACGCAGCTCAGCCCCACGTAGCTCTCGGGCTTCACCACGTAGGCCTCGAAGGCGATGTTGCGGGAGTTCTGCTGGGCATAGGGCGGCCGTCAGCCCCGGCACGGGCAGAGACCCCCCTGGGATGGGCAGAGACCCCCCTGGGATGGGCAGAGACCCCCCCCGGCACGGGCAGAGCCCCCCGCCCGCGCTCCAGCCGGGCTCACCACCGCCATGTGCTGGGAGTTGCTGCTGAGGGTGTGCGCCGCGATCTTCTCCAGGGAGCGCACGATGCTGGTGCAGGCCTTCTCCTCCTTCTGCGACATCCACAGGATGTGGTCGTCCACCAGCATGATGTTGCTGGCCATCTCCACGATCACGTCCGTGAGCTGCGAGGAGAGCGGGCGGCATCAGCTGCGGTTCGCTCCCGTCCAACCACCCCCAGCAGCAAACACCCCAATTCACGCTTTTACCCCCCAAAAAACCACCCGGCAGCGCTGGGGATGGCAGGGAACAGAAGCAGCATTACCTGCTTGATCTGGTCCACGTAGCCAATAAACTTCTCTATCATCTGGGCCACGTAGAGGACATCAACCATGTCCGAGAAGTTGGCAGCCTCGGCCGTGTAGACGCGCAGCTGGTGGGCCAGGGTCAGGGCGTTGGAGGCGTTGATGGGCATCTGCAGGGGGGGACACCCAGGGTCACCGGCTGTGCCCGGCCCCTCCGGGGGCAAACACAGCGGGGCCGAGCCCCCGGCTCACCAGCACGAAGGTGTAGAGCACACGGGTGATGTCGTTGGTGTAGAGGCAGTGGGAGTAGTCGCCCTCCTCCCAGCGCCCGGTGCGGTCGCAGCGCCGCGACGCCTGCTTCTCCGCCGCCGGGCCCCCGCTTGCCGGCCCCGAGGCGAAGGGGTACTGCAGGCACGACTGGTAGGCGGTGATGCCCGCCAAGGTGCGGGGCCACCTGGATGTGCGAAGACACCGTGACTGCAGGGCGATGCTCCCCAGAAAGCTGCCCCAACCCCTAACCCCAAATCCCGCTCGGCTCAGCACAGAAAAGGTGGTGTTTGGGGGTGGGGGGGCACCGCTAATTTAAGCCACATTGACTGTACCGGGAATTTATATTCCGTAACGGCCCCGCTGAGGTTACGGCGGGCGCCCGGAGCCTTTCGTCTTGTGCCAGAGAAATTCCAACACCTCTGCTGCTGGAGCCGGGCTGCGCTGCCGGCACGGGAAGCCCTTCAAAGGCGCTCGCGCTCCCCGCGGCCGCTAATTGCTACCAGACGCCCGGTCACCTGCGGGCCCCCGCCCGCGGCGAGCCCCCCGCCCCGGCACGCACCGCACACGGGGGGTGGGAACGAGGTGAGGGGGCTCCGCACCATGCACGGCCCTGTCCCCCGTGGCCACGCCGCCGCCGCCGGTCCCTACCTGAAGTCGCCGCGGTTGTTGGTGACCCGCTCGGCGGGGCAGTAGGATGCGGAGGTCTCCAGCACCACGATCTCCACCTTCTTGCTGACGTTGCCCTGCGAGGTGGAGACGGCGCACTCCCACTCGCCGTTGGCGGAGACGTGGATGTTGGAGAGGATCAGCTCGCTGCGGACAGAGGGGACGTGCCAAAATGTCCCACCCACGGCGCTCGGCACCCTGGAACCCCCACCCCCCTCCCTGCGGTGCCCCCATCCTCCCTCGTCCCGACCTGGTGATGAAGGTGCAGTCGTGGATGAGGCTCTCCTCCACGATGACCCCCGTGCGCTCGTCCTCCTCCACGGGCTCGCGGTTGTGGTACCAGCGGATCTGGGTGCTGTTGTCCAGGTAGGTGGCGGTGCACTGGAAGGGCAGCCGGTCGCCCTGGAAAACCACCTGGCGCAGCGACGGGATGAGGTGGTGGGTGTGCAGCTCCGGGGTGCCCGCTGCAGGGGGGTTGGGGGGGACACAGGTGGCTGGATGAGCCCCCCCAGACCCCGGCCGTGCCTCCTGCCCGCGCCCCTGGCCCCTGCTCACCGCAGCGCAGTTGGCTCTCGCGCGCGCCGCGCAGGGGGACCGCGTGCAGGTGCCGGGGGTAGACGCACAGAGTCCGGTCCGAGATCTGCGCCGAGCGGTTGCGGGCCCAGGGCAGCACCCAGCGCAGGTTGCAGTCGCACGTCAGGTACTCGGTGGCAAAATCCCTGCAAGGGGCAGTGTCACGGGTGGGGTGGCGCGGCCGCGCGCGCGGCAGGAGGAGGGGACGCGCCCAGTGCCAAGGGCTGGGTGGGCTGCAGGGCACGGGGATGGACGTGGCTGGGTACTCACACGACTTTCAGCGAGGGGAGCTCGTCGAAGACACCGGGTGGGAGGCTGGAGAAGATGTTCCCCGACATGTTGCTGTGAGACAGGAGAGAAAGAGGGCATGGAGGGGACCGGGACCCCATGGACACCTCTGCAACCCAGGCTCCTCGCCGTGTCCTGAGGCTCCTGGTGTCACCCGCTGCTCCAGCAGGGCTCTGGGCTGTGCCCCACACACCAGGAGGGGACCCTGGGGCTGGCCGGGAGCCCCAGGGTGCCACTTACAGCCGGAGGAGGCTGGAGAGCCCCTGGAAGACGCTGGCGCTCAGGCAGCCGATGCGGTTGTTGGAGAGGTCCCTGCAAGGCAAGCAGAGGGGACATCAGCGCTGGGGACACCCCCCAGCCCCCAGCCCCCCGTGGGCAGCCCTCGCAGGCACTTACAGGCGCTTGAGCTCGGGGAGGCCCAGGAAGGCGCCGGGCTGCACCGTGCTGATCAGGTTGTTCTTCAGGTCTCTGCAGGGAGATGGGCACAGGCTCAGGGTGCTGGGGGCCCTGCGCCATCATCCTGCCCCCTCCCCGTGCGGTGCTGTGGGGTGTGAGTGCATCCCGTTCCTCCAGCAGCGCTCGCCAAACCCCTCCTCTTCCTCCTGCCCCCCTGGCCTCGCGCCCGGCACGGCCCCAGCTCCCACCAGCAGCCTCCAGGAGCCACGGCCAGGAGGGAAGCGTCGCTGGATTCGCATTACAGGGGAATTACCGCCCCGAGAACGCGGCCACGCTGCTGCCACCACACCACGGCCACGCTGCTGCTGCTATCACCACCCTCCTGGAGCAGAGAGGGGCTCCTCGGGGGGACGCAGCAGAGTCCCATGGGCTCCAGAGGAAGCTCGTTTGGGTCGTTGGCCCGATTGGAGGCACCCATCAGGTATCAGATCAGACACATTCCAGGCTTGTGCCAGCACGGGGCGGCTGCCAGGGCGGTGGGGACCCAGCCGTGGGGTGGCCTCGGCTGCGGCACCGCCAGCCTGGCTGCTCCCATGAGCAGAAGTGTCCCACCGGTGTGTGGGGACGTCCACCCAGCTCTAGAATGGGTGCCAAGGGGCGTGCAGGGGGGTGTAAAGGGTGTGCAAGAGGAGCGCAGGGGCGTGCAGGGCGGCTCAGGTGAGGCAGGTGCTGAAGGAACAGCTCCCCTCACCTGCGCCACCACCCGTGCCCGTCCCCAAACACATCCCAGCCACCCAACCCCAGGACACTGACCCCAAAAAGCAGCCAGCACAGCCCCAAACACATCCACTGCCAAAATGAAACAGCCCCAGCACTGGCAAGCATGCAGCCGCGGCTGGGGGCTGCCACCCCAAAAGCCACAGCCAGGGATGGGGCAGGAGGGACCCGTCCTGGCCAAGCCCCAAGCCCTGCGCAGGGAAAGCAGGGGCCCCGGTGCAGGTCAGGGTGCTCCCGAGTGGGGCTGCGCTAATGAGGGCGGCCCTGGCTGCATACCGGCCCCGCTCACCCTCATTAATCTCATTAGGCCGCTGCACATCAGCAGAGATGCCGAGATGCCAGCCCTGAGGGGCGCTGCCCGTGGGGCTCCCCTGCACGCCGCGGAGGTGGCTCGGGGACCCTGGGAACAGCTCGGCCCCGGTGGCCGCATCGCACCCGGTGCCCGCAGTGGGCACGGGGCCCCGGAGCCCCAGGAGCAAAGTGGGGGCCCCCGGAGCCCCCCGGCACGTCCCCTCCACGGGGCACGTCTGTGCCGCGGCCCCGCTCTGACCCGATGAGAACAATTAGGGCTGCTGTCGGGGGCAATCAGGCGAGGCGCGGCGTGACGCTGGCCGGCCCGAGGGATGGGGGGAGCGCGGCCCTTGGCCAACCCGTCAGGCTCCGAGCAGGGTTTGGTGCAGAGGAGGTGAGCAGGAGCCTGTGCTGTGCTCGGGCAGCGCGGGCTGGATGCTTGCTCAGGGTCCCAGAGCATGGAGGTGTTTAGGAGACCTCCAGTAACCAGGGGGCTGCAGAGCTGGGGTCCCCCCAGGGAGCTGCCCCCAGGGCGCACGGTGCCCGCCGACCCGGGCTGCTCCCTGCCCGCCCTCGTTAATCCGCCCGTTAATGAGAGCTCGGTGCCAGGAGGAGGGAGGGAGGGAGGAGGTGACCCCAAACTTCGAACCACAGCAGGGGGAGACTCGGCTGTGGGGGATTACCGGGATGCAGGCAGTGAAAGTTGGGTCCCCAAACCAACTGCTTCGAACTAAGACCTAAAACAGCGCCGTGGGGATTTCTGTGGCTTTAAAAATCCAATTTTGGCCCCAACACCAGGCACCAGGCACCATGCATGCACCCTAACCCAGCCCAAAGGCCGTGCCAAGCACAGCTCATCCCAGTGCCACGCATCACTCATCCCAGTGCCATGTCCTGGGCACCCCGGTGCCATGCACCGTGCCCCGGCGAAGCAGCTGGGCTCTGCTGGGGCAGGTGCAGGCCGTGAAACTCCACCAAGATCCACGTGAATAAACGCTGCCTTGTTCAGCCTAACGAGATCCAGGCTGGGCTGGTCCCTGGGGAGCTGCCGCCCCCCCCAGCGAGACCCTCGGGTGGCTCCCCAAAAGGAGCCGCATGGGGAGGGCGATGTCCCTGGCACCGCGTGCTGTAGGGCACATCCCCAGGGGTGACCCCACAGGGACCCGTCAGCGGGGCCACCACCCTCCCGTGAAGGGACGGGGACCCTTGAGCTGTCCCCAGAGCAGGAGCCTCCCCCCAGCCCCGGGGCCACCCCAGCCCCGCGGGCCCCATTTGGCTCGGGAATGCGCGAGCCCCTCGACGGGGAACAAAACGCCCTCAGTGCGCCCGTCCCTTCTGCATACCTACAGATCAGATCCATATGGGGGCCATAAATCTCCCCTTATTAAGGCTCCCACCATAGAGATGCCTTTCATGGGGAGATAAGAAAGTTGACTTTGTTCGGGGGGACAATGTCGCTTTTCATACCGGCCCCCACGGAGCGTGGCCCCCCCCCGGTGCCTCCCACCCCGACGCAGCTCCCAGGGACCCGGGGACGCCCGCGGGTGCCGGTGGCAAACCCAACGCCCGAGGGGCAGTGCCCGGCCCCACAGAGCACCCCGGGAGCATCCCGCAGCGATTTTGGGAGCGTGGCCCAAGCTGTGCCGCTGGCACCAGGCTCCCGCTAACCCCCGGCCCCCCTCCTGCCCCTGCCCCAGCCCCCCGGGCACTCACAGCTTCTCCAGAGCCCGCAGCCCGAAGAAGGAGCCGTTCTGCAGCACCGTGATCTTGTTGTTGCTCAGGAGCCTGTGGGGAAGAGAGCACAGGGAGGGGGTCAGGGCCGGTGCCGTTATTTGGTCTGTGATAGGCGCTGTGTGTGCCGAGTGCCCGTGGGTTGGGGGGGAGCGGGAAAAAAGGGACCCACAGCGAGGTGGTGGTGGCTCAGGGACAGGTTTGTAGGGCCAGCTGGTGACACAACAGCCTTGCACCCTCATGGGAACACCGTGCCATGGTCTGCGTCACGGTGGCACCAAGCTGGAGGTCCCCAGGGCTGTGCCGGCTCTTGCCGCTTCGCTCCCATCACCTGCCCGGCCCCGTGCGCACAGATGTGGGGGTGATCCCCCCAAAACCTGCACTGAGGATTGCCGAGGGAACCCTTGGGGCTCCCCCAGCTCTTCCCCACAAGCTCTCAGAGCTCACTGAGGTGCTCGGATGGCGCTGGGCACCCCCGACCCCGCTGCCCCACGCCTCGCTCCCCGCCAGCCCCACGGCGCTCACCGGTGAGAGGCAGAGGGAGGAAAGGCGGCGGTGGGGAGGGCGCCCTGGACACGGCGTCCGGGGGAGAGGAGCAGGAAAAAGGGCTCATTGACGGCCGCCACGGGGCTGTTTACACACGGGCGGTTTCTGCAGCGGGGCTGAATGGTGGCTGTGTGCTGCGGGCAGGCCTGGCCCCGCGCTCTGGCCGCCCTCCTCCGAAAACCCAGCGAGCGGGCGGGCGTCGCCGCCGGCGTCCGGGTTTCCCTGGCCCCGTTCCCACGTTGTGGCCAGGACCCGGAGGCCCCCCGGCTCCCGGGGGGGCTGTGGATGAACCCTCCCATGGGCTCAGCTCCCGTCCCACTCCCTGCCCTGCAGCATGCGGCGGGACGGGGCCGCATCCTGTGCTAAGGAGGAGCTGGCACCGGGCAGCGCCGTGCCCGTGGGGCCCTGTGACCCTGCCCGGCTCCCCCCAGCAGCCACCAGCATTGGCACCAGTCCCCACCAGCAGCCCCAGGACGCTGGCCGGATGGGATGGCAGAGGGATGGCAGCACCGTTCCCGGGGCACAGCGCGCTGCAGCCCCTCACCACAACGTCAGCCGGGGGCTGTTGCTCAAGGACGGGCTGGCCCCAGCGGCTCCAGAAGGTTTTAATTCAGCAGCAGCAGATTTCACAACCCAGCAGAGCCCCCGTGGGCTGTGCGTGTGGGGACGTCTCGGGGGCTGCCCGATAAAGCGGGGTTGGGGCAGCAGAAATCCCCTGCTCAGGAGCCCCCTGCACCAGCACCCGGGGGCTCAGATCCCCTCCGCTGCGTGCTCCACGTCCCGAGGCGCAGCTTTGGTTACAGCCAGGGCTGAAGCACGGGGAGCAGGAGGTGCCTGCACATGGGGGGGCTCAGCACCACCGGGATCACAGCCCCAGGCATGCCCCGAGCCCACCCCAGCCCAATGCAGCCCCCCCGGAGCGAGCCCCTGCGCCGGGAGATGCTCGCTTTGTTCTCCGGACCCCTGGGACCTTCGAGGCTTCTGCCATAAAAACAAAACTCCCCTCCTTAAAAGGCGAGGCGCAGGCAGGCCAAGATGAAATCAGCATCCTGTGTGATCTGCAGCCAGGCTGCGGGCCGGCCGCGAAGGCAGAGCTGGGGCGGGGGCGCCCTCCCCTCGCCCACCAGGCTCTGCCCGGTGCAGCGAGTGCATTTGGGGACCCCCGCCCTATAGCTGGGTTCCCCGGGCGTGAAATACATCCACCAGCACCCATGTGTGAGGCTGAAGAGTCACAGAGCCCCCAAAACGCAGCTGATGAGTAACGGGGGGAGGTGGGCACGGCACGGTGATCGCCCCAAGGCACGGGCACTCGCCCCCTGCCCGCACGAGCCCCCCGGACACCTGCTTGGAGCTGGGGCTGCCGCAGACCCAGCACGTCTCGGCTCTGCCACGATGAAGGGAAGCCACTAAAACAAACCCAAACCCCTCCCCGAAACCCAGGGGTCCGGACACAAACACCAGGCTGGGCACGCTGCTGCTGCTGGGCGCATTGTCCTCGCTTCGTGAAGGAAACGAGGTCCCCGACCAAACTGAATATTTGGCGCATGAAATTTGCAGTTATAACAACGGTTTGATTGAAAGCTTTCTTCCTGAGGAAACTTTTCCAGCTAGCCACCCTCCTCATTCTTTTCCCTGCCCCGCAGAAGCCAGCCCAGCCGTGCTGCCCCGCGACATCCGCAAATGCGCTTTCATTTTGCTTTCACTGATTTTGCGGATATTGCGCTCTGCAATGGCTCGGTTTTGCTCTGGGAGCCCCACCAGGCTCCAGAACACCCCATGGCCCCCGCATTAGCACTGACAGAGCAGCGTGTGGCAGGTCCCCGCTGCACCCCATGGCACCAAAATAACCGAGTTTCCCCCCAAAACATGATGGGACGAAGGCGCACGAGGCCGGCAGGAGGGTGCGGGGCCGAGGGCTATTTCAGGCTTTCCGCTGCTGTCTGGAGGCAGGACACGGAGCACTACAGATGTTCCTGGGTTTGTTTGGCTGCAAGAAATTCCCCTCCTTACTCCAGCGAGGGGAGGAGGCGGCGGGAGGGCGAAGCAGGGGGTGACCCGGAGGAGCACTCGCCCTGCGGCTGATGGCACCGGGGGGGGCCCAGCCCTGGCACGGGATTTGGGGCAATCCCCCTGCCCCGTGGCCGATGCTTGCCGATGTCCTCATGGCCAGCGGTGCAGGGGGGACGCGGTCCCCCCACGTCCCAGCTGTCTGTGGGGCTTGGCAGGCCATGAAAGCACAGCTCTGCTCCTCAAGAGCTTTGCTTTGGCTCCAGCCCAGGCTGGGACTCTTCACCTCCGAGCAGGGCGCGCAGGCAGACGCCGAGGCAGGAGACACCCCAAAAACTGGGCTTAAACAGCTCGGAGCGTGCCAGAGCCATGTGCCCAGCACAGGAGCAGCGCAAAGCTCTGGGCACGTTGTGCTCACACAAAAACCTCAGCGCCCTCGCGCCTCTCCAGCATCCTCCTGCCCCCAAAGGCTGCAGCCCGCATCCCTCCAGGGCAGCACCGGTGGCTCCGCAGCCAAACAGCCCCAAAATGTGCCACCAATGCGGGACGACCCCACACCGACGTGGGACAACCCCAGCAAGGGGCACAATAATCGGCTAATTGAGCGGCGGCTGGAAAAGCCCCCTGGACAATGCAGGGATTAGAACCAGGGCGTGGAGTCAAATGCAAAGAGCAGGGAGGGGGCGGCGGGGTCCCACTGGGGAGCACCCTCCCACCCCCGAGGGCTGCCCGGGGTCTCGCATCCTGTCCCCAGCCCGCTGGGTGCTGGGGGCACCCAAACCCCGCAGCGATGGAGGAAGCCCTTCTTTTTTTCCCTTCTTTTTTTTTTTTTTTTCTCCCCCTCCCATCTCAAAAAAGAGGAGCCAAAAGTGGAAAAAAAAAAGAAAAAAAAAAAAAAAAAAAAAAAGATTGTTTTTTCAAGCGTGCTGGAATCCACTTGGATAAATAACGGCTCCAGAAACTGGGCTGCTGAAACAATAAACTTCCTATGTACCCAACCAAAAAAGGAGGCAGGAGACGTCGCTCCCCGCAGCCGGGCGCGCAGCAGAGAGGGAAACGCGAGCGGCGCGGAGGTTAATAACGGGGTGACGGCCGTGGGGGCGGGGAGGGCCAGCTATGCTTTGCTCTGCGAGCGCATTAATTTAAAGCATATGCTCGCAGCAGATACGGCGGAGGCTGTGCCCTGCGCAGAGCTCGGCGTTCGCAGGGATTTTGGGAGGAGCGGAGCGGGGCCCCCCGGCCGGCGAGGTGCTCTGGTGCCCTTCCCTCCCTGCAACGTCACGCCGGGCTATTTCGGACGGTGAAAATTATCGTCCCAGCCCTCGGCTTTGGTTAGCGCAGGAAAAATAAGCCCCAGGAGCCGCAGGCAGCACGGTGCAAGCACGGCCTGGGGGGGCGAGGGCTGGAGCCTGCAAGCAGCCCCCCGAAGCAACCCGATGTGGGGCAGCTCCCTCCAACCTCCCTGCTCGCATCTGCGCCTCCGCAGTTCCCGTCTTCAAGCCCTCTCCACACTGCAAATGCCAGAAGCCTCCCTCTCTTTTTTTTTTTTTCCCTTTTTCCTTTTTTTTTTTTTTTTTTATTTCCCCTCCCAGCGAACGGAGGCAGCAGCAGGGCCGGGATGCTGCGAGGCGCCGGGCAGCTCCAGCCCTGTCCCCGGGCAGGTCACCTCCCCGTCCCCTACACGGACACCGTGGGGGTCCCCCCCAGGCCCTCACCGCTTCAAGGAGGGGAACAAAAATTTTTGGGGTGGAAGGAAGAAAATAACAAACAAACAAAAAAAAATACTGCCCGATAAATATTGAATAAATGGCTCAAAAAGGTTTCAGAAAGAAACCATCTGCGGGGCTCAGGACAAACAGGCCTTGGAGAGGGGAGTTCAAGTAGAACTGGAAATTGGTCGTAAGTCAAAGCCCTCTATTCCCTGCAGACAATCTGTAATTTAGTGCAATCAAGCTGTGCACATAAATGAGGCCTGTGCTGGGATTCCACATCTGGAAGAGGTTTGGGCTCCTGCCCGTGTGACAGCGGGGCTGGCCGTGGCCAGGGCGGCTATCTGGGCCTGGGGAGGGCCACGGCGCTCTTTCCATCGGGCTATTAGCACGGGGTCAGCCGGGGGGAGGGCGTTAAACCTCGTTAGTGCACGTCTGCACAGCCCCAGCCCCTCGTCACCACGCCGCAGGGATGTCCGGGGCTGTGATGTGCAGCACCCCGGGATGCCAAACGCCCCCGGCACAAAATTGGGGAAATCCACAGCCCCAGGGCCCCGATGGAGCGGGATGTGCAGGGAGCACCACGACGGGACGAGGGCAGGTCTGAGGCCGGCACAGCCGCACGCAGCTCCGCAGGCACCAAGGGGATGACCTGGGGGGGGGTCAGCATCCTTCCTTCCTCCCCACAGGGGGCGAGGACTGCGCTCAGGTTTCCTCCGGGTGTAAAAGAGGGCGGGGGGCAGAGCGCACACGCCTTTGCTCAGGTTGCACAGGGGTGTCCCGCTCGCTGATCCCCACCCACTGCACCGGAGCGAAGCAGCAGCTCCGCCACGAGAGAGACCTCAGCCCTGTAACGACGTGGGCTGGGGGCTCCGTACCTGCAGCATCCCATCCCCAAGATGCCTCTTGGTAAGCCCGGAGACCTGCTGATGTTTAGGCAAGAAGCGCAGGGTCCTGTCTTGGTCAGCACCCCTGGCACCCACAGCTGGGATGGATGAGGGTGGTCGGTGCCCAGCACCCTGCTCCGAGGCCAGTGCAGCCCCCGGGCACCCAGGCAGGGCTCCTGCCACCACTTCTGCCCCTGTGGAGTTAATTTTCCAGCTCAGCATCTCTGGTTTTACCTCCCTGCCACGTCCCCATCATGGGCAGTGTGGGAGAGGCTGCAGTGGGGGTAAAACCATCAGCGGAGCCATGGCCGTGCCCAGCACCCCGTACCCCGTGCTGGCCGCGCTGCCAGCCAGCGCTTCTCGGTCACAGGGGGGTAAATAAGCAGCAGCTGCTGCTGAGGCAGCCTTGGATTCCTCAGGGCAGGGCTAATCATTAAAGATAAATAAAGGAGTAAACCGAGAGTGTGGGAAAAAAACAAAAGCGAGGCAGAGCGAGGGATGCGCGGCGCGGAGCTCCCCCGGCCAGCCAGGAACGTCCTCCTCCCGTCCTCCTCCTGTGCGCAGAATTAGCGCCGCTCATTAGCGCGGGCACATTCCTGCTTCCAGGCCAGACCGGATGAAGCCTGGAGCCGTTTTGGAGCCTTACCCTGCACCGAACACACCCGTGGTTGGGGCAGTGCCGACGCCGAGCATCCCCGGGGCGTGCGGGAGCCCTGCTTGGAGCCGGGGTCGTGGCTGTCCCCAGCAGGACGTCCCCGAGGCGCGTGCAGCCCGGGCCATGCCGCCTGCTCCTGTCCTGCCCGCACCCCAGTGGCTCCAGGAGACGCTCACGAACCCGGAGCCTCTGGTTTTGATTGTCCCATCTGGAAAGGGTTTAGAATAAATCATGTTTACTGCGAGAGAGCAGAGCCCAGGGTCACCGCATATTTGTAGGTTTCTGCCTACGCCTGTAGGTTTCATGTCACGTTTTAGTGGGATCGTGTAATGCCCTAATGCTGCTGCACGGTCACCCCAGCCCCGTGACCGCCCTCCCGGCACGGCGCCTCCAAAAATCCCCTTTCCTCTCGGCCACAACACTGTGAGAGCCACCCCGGGCACTGGGCAGTGCCATCGCCCTTGCTCCTGCAGAAGAAAACCCAAGAGCAGGCAACGAGGCAGGCACTTTTCCCAACCACGAGCTGGCAAAGGGCTCTGAAGTCCCCGCAGGTATTTCCAATGGGCCGACACGTCAGAGGCCCTGGGGAGAGAGAAATTCAGAGCAGAGCCAGCGCGAGGGAGGGCACGAGCACAGAGCCCAGCCTCCACGCGCCCCTGCAGCCTCCCAGCACGAAGGCGAGGCCCTGGATGAACGTCACTGCTGCTGCTTCGGGATGCTTCAGGCTTTTATTAGGACTGCTGCGTTCAGAGCACGCTCACAGTGCCCGCATGGCACAGCTTACACGGACACACTCCACGTGCACCGTGGTGGGTCACCATCACGGCCACCCGACGGTCACAAACGAACATCACCGCCCCAAAGCGAAGCCTCTCCAGTGGCACACGTGGGACCAGGAACCTCCTTGAAACCGGGAATGCCCGGTGCTGACGGGACAAAAACGTGGCCAAGTGGGTGCGCGAGCACCGAGCTCACCGCAGCGCTCCCCAAACCCTGCCGAGGGGCAGGAGGTGGCAGCCGGAGCCCCGGCTCCCCCAGGGACAAGGCTCTGGGCAAAAGCGACGTCCCCTCCCGCAGCGGCTGTGCCGTCCCTGCCCTCCGAGCCAGATTTTAATTCAAACATCTCCTCGGGAGTTATAAATAAACACCGTGACCCGCCGCCGCAGCGAGGAGGCGCGCAGGCTGCCAGCGCCTGCCCAGAGCCCCAAAACCTCCCCGCGCTGAGTTTTTAGGAAGCAGGCGACGGCTGCAGCCCCCTGCACAAAGCCAGAGCCCCTCGCTACTTCCCAGCGAACGTTTCCAGCAAAAGCAGCCGCTTTCAAACAACAACATCCTCCCCCGGAGCTCCAAGCAGCCGGAGCGATGGGAGCCCCCCCGCCCGGCTGCCCGGCCCGGGTCCCCTCGGAGCTCGCGGTGCCGAGAGCCCGGGCACGGCTCGGGGTTCCACGGGGCAGGAAAAGGGCTTTTGTCGGGGCACAGCTGGGGAAGGAGGGCAGGCAGGGGAGGGGAGAAGGAGGGCAGGAGGGGAGGAGAGCAGGAGGAACGCGCGGCGCTGCGGGGCGAGGGTGGGCGCACGAGGGGGCGAACGGGGCCGGGATTTGGGGACCCACGGAGAGCGCCCCACGGGCACCCCACGGCTCGGGGTACCCCCACAGCTCGCCCCCACTCCTCTCCCTTCGCCTCCCTCCTCCTCCTCTTCTTCCTCCCCCCCAGCATCCTCCCCACGGCACCGGGCAGGACACCTCCGGGGGTTTCTCCGGGGGTCCCCCCCTTTCTCCCTCCCCCTCTCCCACCCTCCCGGGGACCCGGCGCCCCTTCCCCCGGTACTCACAGCGTGGCGGTGCCGTCGGGCAGCAGCCGGGGGTCGGGCGGCGCCGGGAGCCCCCCTCCGCTGCACAGCACCCGGCGGCGGGGCGCGGGGGGGCCGCTCGCCTTGTGCCGCTCCGCTGCGCACTTGCAGCCCAAGCTCTGCACCGGGCAGCCCCTCGCCGCCGCCCCCGTCCCCCCCCCGGCCGCCAGCAGCAGCAGCGCCAGCGCCGCCGCCGCCGTCCCCGTCCCCCCCCGCATGGCCCCGGCACCGGGCTCCGGGCTCCGGCTCCGCGCCCGCCGCCGCCGCCGCCGCCCCGATCCCCGGGGCGGCTCCGGCGGCGCCTCCCCCGTTCGCCGCCCTCCACCGCCGCCGGCCCCGGCACCTCCCCCGGCCCGCCCCCGGCCCGCCCCGGCCACGGAGCCGGGAGGGAGCCCGGAGCCCCCGGGGGGAGCGGGGATGGGGGTCGGGGGGCAGAGGAGAGGGGCTCATCCCCGTCCTGCGCCCCCGGGGGGCGAGGGGTGCGCCAAAGGGAGAGAGGGAGCCGGGGGCAGGGTGGGGAGGGACAGGGCTGGAGAATTGGGCAGTGGTGGGGAAGGGACAGAGCTGGAGCACTGGGCAGGGTGGGGAGGGGTCAGGACTGGAGCCCTGGGCAGGGTGGGGAAGGGACAGCCGGAGCCCTGTTCCTATAGCACACCCCCCTGTCCGTACAGCCTCTGCTGTGACCCAGGGGTGACGAGCACAGGGGGCTGCAGCCCCTCTCACCCCTGCCCGTGGGGGCTCTGCGACCCCCCCCCCATGACCCCCCAGCCCCCCGCACTGCCCCCATCGCCCCTGCCCACGCTGCAGCCATTTCGGGTGCCTCCCCCCTGGCCCCGCTCGTCCCCGCTTGCCTGCAGGGTTCTGCTCGCTTCAGTGCTCCCCACGCTCAAGCTCAATATTTTTCTTCCTGCGCCCCCCCCTCGTGTCCCCAGCTCCCTCTCCTCCCAGGGCTCATCTCGTCCCCAGGCACGGCTCGCTGCAGTTTTCATGGAAAGGGATCAAAAGCAGGCGATGAAGCCTTCGGGACACCCACGCCAGGGAGCAGAGGAAGAGGGTCACGGAGAGAAGCCAGGGCGCTGCTCGGGGAAGGCGCTTTCTCTCCAGATCCAGAGCGAGAAGAGAAATCGCCTCCTTTAAATAAATAAATACAGGGAGGGGAGATGCTCGGCAGCACGCTCCCAAGCTGCTTCCACACGCGTTTTTGTTTCGGGATCACGAGCAGTCGAGGTTCCTGCGTGGTTTGTGAGCGCTTCAGCCGGCGGTGGCCTCGCTTTCCCCCCCGCTCAGCGCCGAGCTCCTGGGGTCCCCGGCTGCGGGAGCTTGGCACCGTGTCCCCAACGCCTCCCTCCCCTCCTCTCTTTTGTTTTCTTTCCACTGAGCACAATTTCCAGGGCAGGAACGCCCCGCCGGTGCTGAGCGCCGCAGGATGCCGGTCCCGGACCCTGCAGCTGAAAGTGGAAGAGCAACAGGAAACCGCCTGCGCCCGGCATCCGCCCCGGGATCCGTGCGTGTGCGGGGCTGCCTGCAGCAAACGGGAGGAACGGCCTCGTTCCCTCAACTCCCCCCAAAAATAGGGAGCCCTGCCTCGTCCTGCCTCCCTCTCAAACCCCTTCCCTTCTCCTCCCGCAGAACACCAGCCTGGGGGCTGAAGCCCACTCGGTCTCGTGCCCCTTTCTGGGGGCCGCGACCCCATAACCATGGAAGGGCCCCGAAAAACCCCAGCATTGATCTCAGGGTTCCTTGTGCATGGACAGGACAGGACTTGGCACGGATCTCGAGCCCTGGAGGAGAGCGGTCAGTGCTGGAAGCATCCGAGGACAGTCAGGGCTCTGGAGCTGCCTCCGCAGCACATTGAAGCAATCAAGCCCCCGTACGTGGTCCTCGGAATCTCAATCCCCTATAAAGTTACCTCCAAGAACAGTCAAAACCTTGTCCAAACCAATAACAAATGCGAAACGCTCAGCCCCAGCGCGTCCCACGTGGCTCAGGCCCTACGGAGCTCGGCTTCTTTCAACTCCTTCCAGCCCCTCTCGACGCCTCCCCAGCCCCGATCCCTTCCGACGCCTCCTGCCCGGGAGACGAGGCAGGATCCGATTCCAACCCCAAATTAAGGACGTGCCAGTGCCAAACCCCGCGCCCCTCGCTCCCAATTCGGGGGCAGAAGCGCTCCCCGTCCGCTGCAGGCGCGGGGAAGGACCCCGAGCACGGGGCTGGAGATTCCTTTCACTGGGATCCAACAAAAACCTTGGCAGTCGCCGGCCTTCCTGCCGGAAACCCGATATCCAAGAAATAAACACGCTTCCCACTTTGAAGGGCTGCAGCGGGCTGCGGGGCCGGGACGCGAGCGGCTCCTGGCTGCCTTTGAGCCCTCACCTGCCCAGGACAGCCCCGCTGGGTGCTCCTTGGGGGCTGCACCATGGCCCTGAGCTCCCCTGGGACAAATTTGCCCTGGAAATGGGGCAGCGATAAGCTCCAGGAGCTCCTGGCTCCTTCTCCCAGCTACGGGGTGGCCACGGTGGCAGGAGGGGGCTGCTGCGGCCCCGCTGCTTCCCCGCGGCCGGCCCCAGACGCTCACCGAGAGCCACGAAAGGAGAAGCAGCCGCGCGCTGCCCCGGCCTGGGATAATCTGCAGCTTCATTCCTTTCAGAGGCAGCCAACGCACAGATGTTCCCCAAATCCCCGGGGATGAGTTCCTCCCCAGCAGATGTTCAGCCCTGATCGCCTGCCCCGCGGTGCTGGGGACCCTCGGGGGGGGTCTGTGGGCCCCCAGCCCACCCGGCACTGCAGGGGCTGGGCACGGCCGTGTCCTCTGCTCGTTGCTGAGGCTCCGAAATCACGAGGAGGGGTCCCTCCGGCCACAACCGAGCCTTCTCCTCCTGGACCTGTTCCTCCAAGGCAAATATTGACAGTGACGTTACCCCTAGGAGCCGTTCAATAACAGGCTGGGAGCCTTTTCCTGCACTTTGCTGGCTCTGATTCTGTGCCCAGCAGTCGCCAGCTCTGATTCTGTGCCCACCAAGTGCCCGAGGAGGGCGAGCAGCCCGGCTGGGAGCACAGGCGGGCGCTGAGGACGCAGGAGCAGAAGGCACCTGCGGGTGCTGCACCTACCTCGGCGAGGCAGAGCTCTCAGACACGACGTGCTCGGAAAAAAAAAAAAGCAGCCTGCTGGAAGTGGGATGGGCGAGAGAAACAGCTGCAGGAGCTGCGCCGGGCTCCTCTCCTCCTCGGCGCCTTGTCAGCGCGCTGCAGCTGCGGCTGTCGGGGGGCAGCACCCGCCGCCCCGTCCTGCAGGCCACCTGCACGGCCCGGCTGGAGGAGAGGAGAGGAGAAGAGAGGAGATGTCCCGCAGCTGGGAGCCTCGCAGCACCACACACGGCTCCCCCGAGCCGCAGAGGGCTCGTGCAGGAGGCCGGCATCAAAGCCGGGGGAGCTCTGGATGGAAGAGATGGGAAAAGCAGAGGACCACACACTTCTGAGCGCCGGCCTGCGCCTTCAGAGCCTCCAGGGCACGGAAGCCGGGAGAAATCCTGCCCTGCCACGCAGCCCCCCCTGGAAGCTCACCTTAACTGCTTCATTAAGCGTGGCTGGTGTTTGGTTTCAGCTCAGGAAATAAGCACAGAACGCCGGAGAGAGGGAAAGCAGGAGGCTGAGCCGTAAACCAGACAGCTCCCACACATGTTCTGCGTAAAACCATCCCACCCTTCGGAGCTCCAGCAGAAAGAACTGTCACCGTGCACCAGCGCCTTAAGAGAAGCACTTCTCTAGCAACCAAACTGCTGCAGGGACACCGATTTTGCACATCTCAGTCAAATTCGGATGGAAGAAGACGAATCCCGAGGTTGTTCTGCAAAATAAACAGAGCTTTTAACGTCATGAAGTTCGCAGGCAGATCTGTGGCCAGCGTGTTTCACTGCTGCTGAAACGCTGGGGAGAAAGAGGTGGAAGAGGAGGGGATTAAATCCAACCACCAGATGGAAAATAGCTAATTGGAGGGCTAATTACTGAGCCGTACCTGCCCCGCGAGGAGAGGAGCTGCTGTCCCTGCGCGGTGCCCCGGTGCTGGGGAGCAGTGCCACCCAGAGGGCTCCTCCAGAAATAGCTCACTGCACCTCGCCTCTCGCCCAGAACACCAATTTTTTCCCCTCCTGACCAGCCTTCCCCTCTCTTTGCAGCCCTCTTTCACTCCACTCCCTCCAGAGACAACCGAGTCTCACCAGACAGCGACTCCAGGTTATGGCAAGGCTTCGGCAACCCTCGGGGCATTTATTCACCACGCCAGAACATAAAAATAACATCTTTAATAGCTTTATAGCTGGCACAGATGGCATTCAATCTCACCACTTTTTATTAACAAGCTAGGAAACAACACACGGTGCAGTTCCAAGGAGGGCAGCTCGGGCCGCGTGTGGCTGTCAGCCACGATGGCCGTGACAGGTTGGAGCTTTCCTCTGTTCATTTACATTCAGCATTTATAGTCAGAAAATAAAACCAACAGCTAGCTTTAACCACACACACACACGCAGGAAAGCCCAGGAAGGATGTTTCTGCTGGCAGCCAAAGTCTCCTCCTCTTGGCAGTGCACAAAAGCCCAAAAAATGTGGTTGTAACACTGGGTTACAAGAGACTTGCTGCAGCTACCGATGGCCAAACAGCACGTGACGGGACGCAGGAGCTTCTACTCACACCTTGAAGGAGCAGTTACTACGAGGAGAGCCCCGTCCCCTCCTCCAGGAGAAGGCAAGGCCAGGCCAGCACTTCACACAGTAAGATGTGGTCTAGAAACTGTCAGTGGTGAGAGGATTTATTTCAGGAACCCAGAACCCAGCGGGATACTTTACTTTCTGAAGTACCTTCCCCAAAGGAGCTCTAGCAACCTCGCTGCTGCCCTCTGAGATGAGCCGGCTGCTGCTGTCCTCACACAGATGCAGACGCGGTGGTGGAGGCACCAAATGGTTGCGTGACTTGCCTTGGGAGGCAACAGCAAGCCAAAGGTAGACCGAGGAGCTGGTAGAAAAGCCCCTCTTTGACCAAACAGAACACACGGCGTCAAGAACTACTACGCAGGACGAAAATAACTCCCAGCCACGCCTCACGAGGGGAAGGGGAAGGATGAAAGCATCCCAGAAGGTCTGAGCAGACATGTAACTGATGGGAAGTGTTAGCAGCGTCAGCCTGAAAGAACACAGACGAATGTCAGAGGAGAAGACAGTCCCCCACTCGCAATCTGCATCCAAAACACGAGGCCATGAACCCCTTCATGCTGGCGGCTGCATTCTTCCTCCATCCAGATGTGCTCGTTGCTTGCCTGCTGTTTAACTGGATGCCATCTCTCCAGCACCACTCGGTGCCACTAAGTGTTCTAGCATGTCCCTGTCACGTAGCTCCTCTCTGAGCATTGCTTAACGGCAACCACGTGCAAAACTCTTACTGGGGGAGAGGAAACATTTACAGGTCTCTCGTGATATTGCGATTTGCTTAACGGAGGGTTTAGTCCTCAGCAACAATAAAATCACTGACACTGCTGCGGATACACCTTGCTCATTGGCATCTCCATCCTGACAAATATTTAGTTTCTTCAACCTGGTTATCCAAAACGAGCCCGAAGTAGCCGGGATACTCCAGTCACTTTCAACCTTTAATTTTCTTATCATTTGTTGGTAATAAAAATGTCCAGTTTCTAGGGGTATGCTATAATCACAATAAATTACGAGGCATTTCTGGCCTCTGCTCTGCTATGAGGAATTCCCTCTCACCGACCAGGTGCCGACGAGGAGGGAGGTGAGAATGCATAGTGTGAGGTCTCTGATCGTCTGTCCTCTGTGGAGGCCACTTTCCCACCTAGTGGCCCTGCGCTGCTGAGGCCTCTGTTTTTCCTTTAGTTTCACCTGGGGCCTTGCCACCGTCTGCTTTGTTGGAATAATCTCGCTCTCCAAAAATAGTGCTTCCAATCCTGACGTTTGTGGATCCAACCTCGATCTGGGAGAGACAGAAAGGAGGAGTTCAGAGCAGGCTGCACCCACCCGTCAGTGCAGTCTGTAACCAGTCTCCACTCCCCCCATCTCACAGCAGGACAGCTCCCCGTGTATCACCATCTGCAGCTACAGCCAGGGACTACTCTGACCCCCAGAAAGGTATCCCGGGACCAGGGGAGCTGTTCTTGGTGGAACAGCACCACCAGGATCTCTATCCTGTTACAGCTGGATGCTGCTGCGGGTAACGTGGCTCCCAGGAGGAGCACAGGATGCGGGACTTACTGCGTGCTGGAAGTCTGTGGACATGCCCATGCTCAGCTCCACCTTCTCGATGGGGAGATTCAGCTTCTCACACACTTCCTGCCGCAGAGACAGCAGCACCTAGGAGAAAGGAGGAACGAGAAGGTGACACGTTTGGTGCCAGCCACACCAGCTCAGTTCCAAGGTTTCACGGATAATAATTTCTGTCTTTCTTTGTGGTCTCCTTCACACGGAAAGCAAAGTTCCCACATTTCCTGCTGATTTATGCTCTGCAGCACTATAGGGCACTGGAGAGTTCCCGTTACAGGCTGCACTACTGACAATATATGCACCTACATCCTTTGAAGACAACCAATTATCACACCAGCACGACAGACAAGGAACAGAGACCCTGTTCCTCTGCCTGGCGCAGCCCCGTACAGAGTGTGCAGAAAGGGCTGGCAGAAACCTCACCTGAAAGCAGAGGATTTAGGATAAAAATTGCCACATGAGGCGCCCCTGCCAATACCCTGGCTACAGCTTCACAGAAGAGACGAGACCAAAAATAAATGCACACCTGGCCTCTGCGGAAAGGAGCCCATCACCTTTAACACTGACCCTGCACAGGTCTGTACAGCTCTGAGCCAGGTGTGCATTTCTACCAGCCATCTCCGATCAGATTCGTATCCTGACTGAAACGGGAAGCCACACAACAGCTGACTTTTTCTAGGAAATCTTACCTGGAAGTCAGGATTTGGCCCCTTGCTAAGGTCATGTCCGACGCTGCCAATTGTCATCAGCCCCACGAATTCCAGGCTCGGACACTTGTTGATGACGTGCTCCACGGCCGCTGCGGTGTCTCTGGGAGGGAGGCCATGCTTACCTGGCAAAAAGCGGGGTGATTTGTGCCAAGCTCTGCCAGAAAACTCCCCTCCCCACAGCCAGGCAGAAGCTAACTGATGGTGAAGTTTCATTTTAGCAGAGAAACTCCTTAGGAGCACAAACCAACAAATCTCACTCAAGTTTCCCGTATCAAGTCAGTGAGACAAACGCACATATCATCAGAGAAAGCGTCTGCCACTTACTGTCCTCTCCACTAGTGTTAACTTGCACCATGACTTTCAGCCTCTGAGGTGAGCCCTTCTTCTGCCACGAGCTGTTGACTCTGTCTGCCAGCTTCACAGAATCCACCGTTTCCAACATGAACAGGTTTGGGACAGCTACAGAGAACAAAACAGAGGCTTTGGGCTGCCTGTGCGACACACGAGCAAAGGTATTTGCAATTGTGCACAGCTAGCAGCAGACTATGGCAGGAGACAGTAAACAGACTGAATCAGGACTGAAAAATGGGGCAGTATCACATTGTTTCATTTGCTAATTGGCGTTTCTTGCTAGCTTGCAATCATTAGTACTAATGGGTGAGAAAGGTGGTTATTATTTGAACATCGGAAGAATACTGCCCCTGGGGTCAAACAGAGATAACCAGAGCTTACCGATCAACTTGTTGACATTATTTTTCTGCAGATGGCCAATGAAGTGCCACTTAATCTCTGGGCAAGAAGACAAAATCTGGAAGCAGAGAGGAGCAGTTAGGTTTGAGTGACAATTCCCCCTTCCCCTATGCAGCACTGAGGTCCCTGTTTGCCCACAAACTAAACACCAGACATCCACTCTTCTTTCGTTTACCAGACACAGGTTTTGCTTCCCTTGCCAGGCAAGGTGCTTTTCAACAGCAGGATCAAACCGCCTCCATAATAAACTCCCTAAGACAAACCAGGACTTTGAACAGCTCTTGGGACACAACTATGCAAGGAGAGAGAACACGTAAGAAACTGTCAACTTACTCTGGAGTCCGATGCCTTTTCCAGCAACTCTTGAACCTAGAAGAACCCAAGACAACCTCTTGTTAAGACCACACCAGCCAAGATCATGCCGTAGGAGCAACCTCACTGGAAGCAGGGCTCCTGGGGCCGCGTGCACCCCAATAAGGACAGGACCAGACCTAGCGAAGGCCGGCACACTCACGTAGTTCTCCCCGAAGCTGCGCTGCCCGTGGCTGTAGGCATCCATCACCATCTCGGCGGGCTTCGTCTTGCTGACGGCCACCAGCCGCGGCTGCACGTCCGGGAGGCCCTGGGGGAGCAAGGAGGTGAGGGGGAGGGGTCCCAAGCCCCCCACATTGTCCCCCAGGCCTCCAGCCCCACTGACAGGCCGCCAGGGCCTGGGGACACGACGGAGGGACACGGGGGGCCCGTTAGGCCCGGGGGGCTCCCGTTAGGCCCGGGGGGGTCCCGTTAGGCCTAGGAGGGTCCCGCGGAGGTCCAGGCCCCGTCTCCATGGCAACCAGGGCCTGCCCCGGCGCTGCGGGCCCGTCTCCATGGCGACGGAGGCCTCGCCGCCATGCCGGGCGGGCCTACCCCGTTTTGGGGGCGCTTCTCCCCCAAAACCTCGGCCCCTCACCTGCGGTCTCCGTGCCGCCGCCTGCTGTACCCGCTCGGTGACGGCGCGCAGCGCCGGGCCCAGCCCTTCCCCGGCGGCCATGCCCGCTCTCCACATCCCCGGCCGCCTTCCGCCGCCTTCCGCCACACCTCCTCTTCCCGCCCCCCGCGCTCAGCCAATCACAGCGCAGCGTCGCGGATCCTGGCCAATGGCAGCGGGGGGCGGGCGTCCTGCCGGCGCCGCCATGTTGGGAAGGTCAGGGCGTCATGGCGGCTGGTGCAAAGGGCACCCCAAAGGCGGGCAAAAGCACCCGGGGGCGCCCCAAAAGCACCCGAGGACGCCCCAAAGGCACCCAAAAGCCCGGGGGCAGCTCGGGGGTGCTGAGGGGAAAGGCTGGGTCGAGTGGCCCGGCTCTGGTTGCCTGCAGTGTGCTCCCATCCCTTCCCTTCCCTTCCCTCAGGCCTTACCTGGGTGGTTGCCCAAATTTGCGAGTGCTGTGCCAGGTCCGAGGTCGCTGCCAGGCTGTGATGGGCGGCGAGGAGCTGTCAGCATCCATCCTGCACCCCAACATCCTCCTCCTGCAGAGGAGCTGCATCGGGTTTCCACCAGTTGCAGCTTCATTGAAAGAGAAGGCGTCGAGCAGGCGCTGCTGCCAGGCTCCGGGCACGGCTCCTGCAGCAACCCGCGGCCTTCAGGAGGAGAAATAAAATCTGGTGGGCAGCAGCTCTGGCTGCTCGGAGGGCAGGTAGCCCCTGATGATGCAGAAGTGACTGCGAGCTGCATGGCTTGCACAGTCAGAACCAAAATGCCACGAAACCACCCCAAGATCCACCCCCGAAGAAATGGGATTCTTGCCACCCGCACAGAGAAGTTCCTCCGGGGTGCAACTTCCAACCCTAAACAAACAAATAAACCATAAAACCAGCGCAGGCTGCACCGCTTGCTCTGCACGCCCTATTTGAGCAAGCGACTGTGAAGGCAGGGATGTGCGGTGGGAGATGCTTGGAGCGCAGCCACGGGACGCGGCAGCCACCCGTGGTAGCCACACAGTCCGAGCTAAGCCATGGGGAACTGCAGGCCCCAGGGCTGTGGGGCTGCAGACAATGCCAGGCTTTATCGCAGCAAGTCAAATGGAAAGAATGGGAAACTGCCAGCTGGAGCCCATTAACTAAAATATTTGCCTTAATGCGCAGAACTCGCCCTCCCTCCCCATACTCTGAGCGGTGACAGTATTTACACAGCTGTTCCCAAATACCCAGAAGGTTCCTGCCCTTTGTCTGGTAAAACATGACAATGATTTTCTGCAAACTTTACCAAATCCTAGACGTTTGCCACCGGAGCCTCGTTCCTGTGTTTTTCACTACCCGGTTTAGCTAAGCGGGGTCGAAACGCCTGCAGCGTTCCTCAGCTGGCTGCTGAGTCCATCACCTCTGCCCGTTTTCTGCCAGAGCTCTGCTTTCCTGCTCCCTGGGGAGGGAGAATTCTCACAGAGCAGCAGCCCAGGCACTCGTCGGCCCCTCATGCTGTTGATCCCCTGCTGGAGATTTACCCCTGGTAAATCTTTTACCCCTGGTAAATCCTCCCCTGCAAATATATCCAAGCGCTGTGTTAAAGGTCGTCCATAAAACCAGACAAATTAAAATTGAAGGCCATTTTATTATCATAGCAAGTATCAAAATAAAAAGGCTTTTAATTCAATATGTAAGATCAACAACCATGCTGGTAAAGCATTACCATGCTCCCGCCAGCAATTCCCAGCTATCAGCAATGCCACAAACCTCTATTTGCTTCGTTAAACAGTGGTTTTAAAATTCAGATCTTCGTTTCAAGATTGCAAGATCATGGAGATTACGACAGAATGACAGTTAAAGAGTGAGATCAAATAAAGATTTACATGTAGTGACTACTCTGGAAAATTGAGGAAATTATACATATAATGAAGAATCTGAACAAAAAATAACAATCAATTTTGGCTTGTAAAGGCTGCTATTATTTCAACTTGTTTTTGCGTTTTCCACTCTTATTACAGTTTAACTAAATTACTCGGTTTTCAGTGATGCAGAATCATGACGGTTCCATAATGGTTTAAAAATGTGGGTTTGAAATTAATAATACTGGCTACTCCTTTTTCTATTCTCCCCCCTCCTCTGAGAAATACTTTAGCAGTCATGTTTTCAATTAAAAAAGAATCCTTAGGACCTATTTATTCCAAACTATTGTTTTACTGTAAAGTCATACAAAACCGTATTTTATAATACCACTTTGGTTTATTTGGGTCTTTTCATTAGTGAAAACACTTGCATAAAAAGCAGTTTTTTTAGTTACTAATGGAAATCCTTTATGTGAATGTAGAACGATCCAAAACAAAGGTTTAGGTACTCAAAGATTTAGGTACCATCACCTCATTCCTATATTTCTGCTATTCCCTGTTCATCATCTTCCTGCAGAGGCCAATTTCCAGAAGTGAGTAATATTTCAGCCTACCTATTGATGCAATTTTGGACCACTGTTTTCTAGTGTATCAGTCTGGAGATGGAACTTTTCTTAGCTCGGCTTTTCCAGCAAATACAAAGATGACATACGAGATGGACCTTTTCTCCAGCAGAAATCGATGGTATCTTTTATTTTGCATTTTCAAGTATCAACTGTCATTTTCCTGACAGGGAAAATAAAGCTGAAGTGAAAATACTGGAACGAGCAACAGAAATTCATCTCATTTCTATCTTAGTGTGACTGCCTTATTAAAAAGACTAATGCATATTTAGAACACTGAAGAGTGAAACCAAGAGAAGTAGGTAGCAAGCATTTAGGGCAGAAGATCATAAATTCAATAGGTTGGTCCCTGACCAACTTAGTGCTTTCTCTTTCATCATCTTATATGGGTATATTGGCTGCAAATTATAACAGCAATTAATAAAAACAGGCTCTCCTGCCAAGTGGCAGATGGATTTGCGGGAGAGGATGAAAAAAAATTCTCCTGAACTTTTGTCTTTAACATCCCCTCCATTTTTGTATCTGTGTAAACTAAAAGCCTCTTTGCATCTGGTATGTGAAAATTAACCAGTTTTCTGAAGTGAAAGGTACACTACATAGCATTGTTCTGAGCAAAGAAGGAAAATTCCTCTTTGAACAGTCCAGCAACAAGAGGTTGTCATTTTTGCCCTGTAGTTTTTTTCAGGATGATGCTTTGTGTCCTTTGCCACTAGCAAATCTTCCTCTCGAGATCTATTCTAAAAAATGAAAAGAAAAAAAAGAAGAACCAACAAAGCAAACAAACAAAACCAGTAAAACTGTTCCGTTCATTTCGGTTCACCTCAACATTATCTCTAAAATGGAACTACAAACACTGAAATCCAGTCGGTCTTGCAGACCAGCAGATTATGTGCTGTATGACCGTGGGCCTGGTCATCCAAGCAGATACTCACTAGCAAGGCTTTTTGCAAAGTCAGGGTCCCTGAGACAAAAATTCTTTTTCTCTCTAGTTTTTCTAACTATGATGACTGTGACAAACAGCACGTTTGCAGTCTGGTTTCACCAGGAGCTAAGTCCAATTAGCCACTGGCAGGCCACTGCCCCTGCCAGCATATCTAGCAGATAAACTGCTGGCAAGAAAATTCTGACTCCCCTTTGCCCAACCCAAATATGACAAATGGAAAACAAACCAGTGTTATGATGCAGAAAATGAGTAGTTTGGGCCACTACCTGCGTGATGCATGGTCTAAGGTTTAGATCCCCCTCCAAGGTAATTAGGTAACCTGCAGCACTTGACTACAGCTATTACAGCTCACGGTGCACGTGGTCTTAGCTGCCCTACTGAGGTAAAACACGGTGGCTTAGACCTCAGTAAAAGGTGGTTTCATGTATTTGCTACACCTTGCACTCAGGATGGGCCTGGAGCGTACAAATAAACCGTTAGTCCCAGCGCCACAGAGCACAGGCAGTGACCCACCATCTGGCCAACGTCCGGGCCTTCAAGAAGACACGGGTAGTGTACAAAAGTCTAGCACCTTTTGTGTTTTTTTTTTTTTTAAAGGGGATTGAAATTAAGTACTGGAAATTTCCAACTAGAAACAAAAAAGGTCATAGCAGCAATCCCCCTCCCACCAAAATCTCAAAACTTACTTACTTTCAACTGCTACAAACCACCTCAATCCAAAATCAAGTACCTATCTAAGCTGGCTGCAGAACAAATAGCCTAGCTAGCCTCGTCAGAGTAATTGGGTTTATGAGCCCATCAGCGAGGAGAGGTGCATCTAGCAGACATATCTGGAGCAGAGTGCTTAGAAGTTACCAGAAAAAAAATACCCCATAAATACCAAAGTCATTGTGTCCAATTGTCATACAAAAGATTGAGAGGATTAAGTCTTATCTTAAGTCTTTCAGTACAGGAAAGGGGGAAAACAAAAAGGAACTTCCCAGTTCATGTTTCTTTTGATATAAAACAAATATAAATGTTTCTTTTCAGTTGATGTTATGAAGCAATTTTGTGTCCTCACTGGCTCCTGCCCCATCCTCTTCATGGATTCCTTCTGCCAGTCCCTCTGCAAATTTAGTCTGGCTACCTGCATAGTCCATGAACATGTTGGGGATGTCTTTGCCAAAATATATCTTGCTGTTTGCTGCAATGGCCTTGTATTTCATCAGCTGCAAGTACTCAGGAGTTAACTTCATCTGCACAAAAACAAAACAGATCACCAACAGCTCAGATTCATTCCAAAGCAAATTTCTGACGCGAGCATACAAGGCGTCCACTTTTCCACAACACTTGTGGGCACGCTCATCCTCCCTGCAGCTGAAGAGCCGCAGTACCCAGAGGGCAGCTCTCCTTCAGCGTGTCTAAACAAAGCTCCAAATTTCAGTGACTAAATGGCAAAATGAGAAAGCGATGGGAGCAGCTGGGGAAAAGTTCCATCCACAGAGATGGAGAAGCTCTAGAGCTCATAACTCACTGAAAGCTCTTGCAATGTGAGCTACTAGAAAGAAAAACACAACTGGCTTTTTTCACAGAGTAGATTGAAGAGTTTGTTTCAGAAAGCAGCGATCATTCCTTCAGGATAAGGACACTACAGCAGAGAGAATGGAGTAACTGGGACAGAACTTGTGCACAAACATCTCAGGCCTCCCGCCATTCTTACTGACCCTTACAAAACAAAGTCTTCCTGCTGGGACGTCCTGGGAAC